GCATACACCCACAAAGTTTACCACACATATATGCCTCTAAACCCTTTCAACAATATGCATACACCCACAAAGTTTACCACACATATATGCCTCTAAACTCTCTTAACAATATGCACACACCCACAAAGTTTACCACACATATATGCCTCTAAACCCTCTCAACAATATGCATACAGTTTACACCCACAAAGTTTACCACACATATATGCCTCTAAACCCTCAAAACAATGTGCATACACTTACAAAGTTTACCACATATATATGCCTCTAAACCCTCTCAACAATATCCATACACCCTCAAAGTTTACCACACATATATGCCTCTAAACGAGGGGAGGAAGGCCAGCCACAACAATTTCTCTTCCGAGCCACATTCTCCTCATTTTCTCGTCCGAGCCACCTCGAAATCCTCGTCCTTCGCTTAATATGTATTTTTAAATTTCTAAATCTTGAAGATAAAGCTATCTTTTAAAAATTAGGCCACGTTAGGGCATGAAATATGGGTAGACTAAAGTATTGCAATGATTACATAATGTTGAAATCTTCAAAGCAGTGAGAATGATGTCTAACTTTAATTAGGTGAAACTTAAATCTCTTCTGCCTCCATAATGGCTAACCTTCGTGATACAAAATAAATGGCAAAATATTTGGCATACCTCTGCCTATAATTTTCCCCATGGAACCACCCAAAAAAATTCTATGGTTTTTGCTAAAATTAACAAAAAGATTAAAGTTCTATAAACTTGGAATTATTTACGGCATTCTACACCTAGATTATCTGAAAATGCGTGTAAGAAAGGTGAATACTATTCAGGACATTGCACTCAAAAACTTTAATTCTATTGAAAATATTTCTTTCTATTTACAAAAATTTAATATTTCGTTAATGCTCTAACGTGACCGGATTCTTAAAAGATTGTTTTATCTTGGAGAATTGAACACTTTAATAAGATAATATTCGAAGGACGAGAATTTTGAGGTGGCTCAGATGAAAAAATGAGGAAAATGTGGCTCAGATTAGAAATTTGTTGTCGGATAGAAACAAGATTCTCAATGATGAACAGATAGACAACAGTATAACCCTCAAATCAAAACCGATAATTAAGAAAACTCTTTATTTCCTGAAAAAATGATATAGATAATAACATATAAAATTGTTACAATGAATGTTTATAATGGAAAGATTCTTACGACCTATTTTGAGATATCAGAGGGTTAAATCGTCAGACAGTCCTAAGACATTTTTTTATTAAACTTCTGAAAAGAATGACAATTAATTATTAACGAAAGTCACTAATTCTTTATGTGAAAATATTCTTTGTTTAACTTTTGAAAATGGATGGATTCACAATGCATTAAGTTAAAGTTCTAAGTTAAAGACGACTTTACATGTATCATGGTTAATGGTTGACAAAATTGTTGTGGCTGGCCTTACTCCCCTCTCAAAACCCTCTCAACAATACACATTGTAAAACAATAGGCAGGCGTCGGTGATAAATTGATTAATTTGCCAGTTGATAAATTGATTAGCAGGCTTGTTGATTTGTTGATTAGGCTCCTTAACTCGGACATATAGTTGCAAACATACATGAAAATCTGTATATTTCAAACCTACAATAGAATAAAGTTACAATACAGGGTGTCTCAAAAAAAACTGTGCAGTAGTATTAGTAACTGAGGAAACAATTTTTGTTAAGTTTTTACAATCAAGGTGTCATTCTAAAGCTCTATATTTCAGTTATTTCATAATGTAAGATTTTTCTTCTAGGCATCCAAAATGACCATTTGGAGGTCAAAATGGGCACAATGACTTCAGGAATCAATTTTTTGAAAAAAAGATTGAAAATGTATTCACCAATCACCATGGGCGTTTACCCCTGTTCAAACACCCATGGCGATGTTTGTGTGCTATTAATATGATATGACCTCTTAAAATGACCCTTAGAAATCAAATTGGCGGATAATGACCTCGGTGGTAAATTTTTTCAAAAACCAATATCATTATTGAAACATGAATATGCTTTTACCAATAAAAGGATACCTTGGACGGCTTAAGCTCAACTCTAAGACATAAGTTGACATTTGAGAATGTGTTCTTTTATGCAATAACAGTCACCTAAAAGGCCACATAAAAAAAACTTTTTGGCATATAACTACCTAATACCTTGAGCCTATCATAAAAACCTTTTATGCGTTACAGTCACTTAAAAGGCTCCATAAAAATTTTTTTTTTCGGTCTATCTAACTACCTAATACTATAATAAATAATAAATCTATCATAAAAATGGACTAATAAAAAATGAAGGCATGAACATCATTAATAAAGTAAATATATTCTTAATTAAATTGATGATTTTTAAAAGTTTTTTTTTGTAATTTCAGATTCACAAAAAATGTTTTATTATTGTGCCCTGGTGGGTTAGATAACAAAATTTGATTGAAATAGCGAGCTGTGGATTGTACAAACTGATTTCAAAAAGAAAATTTTTAAAAATATATTTTTGTGGTCTGGGCAAGGTTCGTACGGATGTACCCATAGCTCTCATTTCGTTTTTATAATGCATATTTTATTTTTAGATTCCAGCTCCAAAAGTAATAATTGCTGATCCAAAATTTTAGTTAAAAATGAAACCTAATTTTTGACAAATTTGACTGAGTATTGCATCTTGAAATATCACAAAGTTGGTTAATGAGTAAATTTAAGATGGATTTAGTATAATGAGTCAGTAATTATAATTCAATACTTTGTGATATATTTCAAGATGCAATGCTCAATCAAATTTGTCAAAAATTTCATTGTAACACAGTTTAAGAATTCAACACACAAAATATTAATCTTAAGTAGAATTGAAAAAAATTGGTTTGAGTTGTACTTTTTTTGTGTTTCGCTGCTAGATTTTTTAAAATCACACTTTAAAGGCCTTAAATATACCATTTAAAAAAGTAGTTTTGACCGGAAGAGTTAAATGTGTGGTACGGAAGGGGAAATAGTAGTGGCTCATATGGCTGCCGGAAGAGAAAAAAGCTATAAATATGTGGCGCGGAAGGGGAGTGGTGGCTCATGGCCGCCTGCCTTCCCCCCGCTAGCTGCAAAACCACGTGCTAGTATGTCGGATGTGTAGTATAGCGGATTTGGCGTAGGCCAGAAATGGAGTATAGTGGATAAGCGTAGGTCGAAAGATACACCATCCACATTGTGTTAGAAAAGTTATAAAATAACAATAATAATTCCAGAATACTATTTCCAGGTTATAAAAGACGACACCAAAAAAAGGGGGAAAACCAAAAGTAAATTAAAATAGATTTTTATCCTCCAAGTAATATTTAAAATTTGAAATTTACAATTCAATAATTTTAAGAACGGTTATTTATCCCTGGTATTTTGTTATGTGTAACCGGTTTCTACCGGAAGTTGGTAAACGTACACTCTAGCTGCCACATCAGCTGTGCTACTGCTACTGCTGAGTGCTGCCGACAGGCGATTGTGTTAGTGCTGGAGGATTTGTGAGAGCATTTTCAATTTTTCTCACGGATATTCTCAAATCTCCTGGTGAATTTCGAATTTACTGTTAAAATCAAAAATATGTCTATGAAAACGACGTAAACTGTAAAAATTTCGGTAAAACGGGTAAATTTCAGACTTCAAATTTGACATAATGACAGATTCAGAATCGGCTCCAGAGGATGTTTCCTTCCAGACAGCCAAGGATGAAGCTCTCGATAAAATTAAAGGTTTGTATCAACTGTTTCCTGGGACAGGATATAAAGAATTGGAGAGGTCACTGATCTACTCACCGCCGGTTCAAATCCTGTCAACGATTCAAATCCTTATTTTAAATTGTAATATTTTACTAATAACTGGTGATTTAAAATTTGAACCGGTGGTGTAGTTCAACGATCTCTCCACAAATTTAGTTGGTCAGGGCAAGGGGTCAAACAATACAAGATGAATAGGGTCAAACACTTTCCGGTCGTCTGAGTCTGAGGATGTGAGGGGATCATTCGGTCATTGAGATGAGAAATTTCCGGTTATTTTCGTTACAACCTTAATATTACCACTGGCGTTCGTTCTGGTGTGATTAATGCATGTTATTCCTTTCTTTAGACTGAAGGTCCTTAAACTAAAAATGTATTAGAATCGGAATTAGATATACACAGGGTTACCTACGAAGGGTGAGACTGTTAAGACGTCCTAGAACTCTTAAAATATGACTATTCCAATTTGAATCAAGTATTCTACACCTTTTTATTTCTTGGACAGAGAAAGAAACAGGTTTATAGTTTCGGAGAATGATAAATTTAAAATAATAATTTCCATATTTTCTAGTAGTCAAGTCTTATCCTTTTATGTTGGATGTTGTGCAAGATCCATTTGAACACGATTTGATAATTATAATTCCAGGAGCTGCTGATGCGATGAAGCTTATGAATGATCGAAAGCGTGAAGTGAGAAAGCGGAAAGCTGAATTCTTGAAAGAGCAAAAGGAGAAAAAACTGGCCAAACTCAAGAAACTGGAAAGTCTTAAACTCCCCGATTCTATTTTAAACAATTTAAGTTCGGAGCCAGTTGAAGATGAGCCATTAAAACCTGCCGCAAGTGAAAATCAGATTAAAACATTTGACTCAGATTGCAACAGTTCTGCTGAAGAAAATGACTTGGACACCGGTTCAACTCGGTTTGATATTGTTACAAAGAAAGATCTGAATTCTGATAAATATAGAAGTTCTGAAGCGTGGAGCTTTAGAGAAAAAATGCTCTTTGGATCAAGGGTTCGACGCGAAGCGCACTCTCAAAAGAATGTTCAGAAATTGAAGCAGGCTGCGGGAAAAAGCACAAAGATATCAATCAATACATAAGTTTTTTTCAGATATTTTTTCTCATATGGAACTTTGAGAAATTTTCTTAACAATGGCTCAGCAAGAACAGACCGTACCCGCTACCAAACAATACTTTAAGGTGATTTTTTATCTTGCTAAAACAGTTCAGCTTTTTTTCCGAAGGACCCATTTTATCATGAAATTCCTACAAATATTGTAAGATTACACTGAACGGGAGAGATACATTCGGTTTCTTTTTTTACTTTTACGAAGTTGCCTTCTCAAGTTCTCATACTTATCAGTTTAAACGCATATTTCGACCAATAAAGTTTAATAGAGAAATTGCGAAAAATTTATGTTAGGAAGTCAAATTGTTATCAAAAGTCAAATTGTTATCAAAAGTCACGGCATGCTAAAAAGGGTTTTAAGATTAACTTCTGTGTTATCACATACTTACTAAAGGGTGTTAATTTCTCATATTTAATTTTTAATATTTGGGTTTAAATATTTTTGTCTTTGATTCATATACAAGTTTATCTTACCTCTTTTATGAATTAGTTCAAAGATTTAAGGAAGCAATTACAACAGTTACTGGCAAGTCGGGAGTTTTCTTACACTTCTTATTTTCTCTAATAACAAATTCTCTATGGCGAGCAAGATTTAACTCAAATTTTCAGTTTTCTGTATCACCTTTTGTTTAAGTTTTTTTGCTGTATGACTTGCACTCAGTCAAATAGCATATATATCTCATTTTTCAAAGCCATGGGCTCACAATACCGAAATGAGCGCGAAATTATAAAAAAGTCTTACATTTTTAATTAGATAGATTCATTTTTGTCGATTTTGAAATTTAAGAATTTTCTCGCGTTTTTTCCGTAGCTCATCCCTTAAGCTTCACCCACGGGGGTGAGCGGACGCTCCAATGGCTCACCCCTGTATCCGCCCCTTATCTCTGATGTTTTTCTAATCACTCGCTGTTGAATAATCGTCGAACCCTATAATTGTGTAGGGTGTTGTAAAATCTGTTTTGGACGGTGGAGCAGTTGTAATCCGAGGACAGCCTAGGAATGGACCTCCTCCAGAGCGTGTACTTGCTCTTACAAACATCGATGCGCCAAGGCTAGGTATTTCAACATTTTCAACGTTAATATAAGTTATGGTTTTGTAAAACCTTCTTGGTAAAAATATTTTTTTTAACGTTTTGACTGAACAGTAAAGCTAGTTTTATAGATTTTCCTGAAATTTTTGGGGAAATTGTTTAATTTGGAAAACACCGATGATAAGCTCGTACTATTGAAAAGAAAATTTGGTTTGATTAAAATGAGAACAAGAAGATGAAGGATGATCATTTATCATCTTTTATTCTAAAAAAGTTCTAGTTGGGTAATCTATTGGTTTTTGTAAACACTAGGTTGCGCTCATTTTCTATTTAAGTTTAATATTTTCTCTTTGTATACATTGTAAAACCAAAATAAAAAAGTTCGCGGATTTCATAAAACATTTCGTGGATTTTCTTGTGTACATTGTGAAACAAAAATAAAAAAGTTCGCGGATTTTATAAAACATTTCGTGGTTTTTTTAAGGTGAGGGTGAGTTTGACCAATTTGAATACATTTGGGAATTATATCTTCACTTTTTGAGGAGCCTGAATGAAATTTTGCATTTGTGTTTCTTAATAGTTAAATAAAAAAAATTGTAAAAATATTATTTCCCACCTCCCCCTTTTCCCCATATTTCCATGTTTTTTTTTTAGCTTTTTCACTAAAAAGTCTGATTCAAATACCAGCCAGGTGTTTTTAACACCTACCTGTGAATCAAGAATCTCAGTATTAACATCAAAACGAAGTTTGAGGTTTTTCAGATCTCTTTTCCCCCTATTTTATCATATTTTCCTACTTTGTTAATATTTTTCGATTTTCTGAATTCATGAATTCATTTTTCATCGAAACTTAAAAAATCTTTTTCACACACGCCTTTATTGGATAGTATTTTTGAAAAACAAAATAAAAAGAGGAAAAAATATTTACTTTTTCCATGTTTTTTAAAGCTTTTTTACTTGATAGTCTGATTCAAAGACAAGGTAGGTGTTAAACACATACTTGTTAGTCATGAATCTCATTATTAACATCAGAACGAAGTGTAAGGTTTTTCAGATCAATTTTCCCCCTATTTTATCATATTTTCCCCCTATTTTATCATATTTTTCCACTTTGTTCTGATGTTAGCATTATGATTTATTCTTGACTAACAGGTGGGTGTTAAAAACACCTAGAGGGTATGTGAATCAGATTTTTTGGTGAAAAAGCTAAAAAATTCATGGAATATTAAAGAAATAGGGGAAAAATATTTCTAACATTTTTTATTTTACTTAAAAAACACGAATGATGCCCGTATGCAAAATTTTATTCAGATTCTTCAAAAAATGAAGACAGTACAGGACAGATGTATTCAAATTGGTCAAATTCACCCTTCCCTTCGATGAAGATTATATTTTGTTTTAGGCCAATTTTTGAAATTTTTATCGTCTATAAACCTTTCCTTGGGTCATGTGAGGTCCCTGTCCCACACAAAATTTGGGCCCGATCGGTTCATCCGTTTTGACGTTCAGTGGACACAAACAAGCTAACAAACAAAAAGACAGACAGACAAGCAAAGTAAACATATATATGTATAGAGGAAAAAGAATTAATATTGGTTAAGAAATATCATATTAAAGAAAAAGTCATGTATGGTTAAACATTTCTATTTCCCCTAATTCTTAGAAAGGCAATAAATGTAGTTTAATTTTTTTAAATTCGTTATTGCATTTCCATAACTCTTAAATTTTAAGGACGTCGTCCTACTGCCAATGCTGCCGCTACGGCCGACGAGCCCCTGGCGTGGGAAGCCAGGGAGTTCTTGAGAAACCTGGTTGTTGGTAAGCAGGTCATTGGTCACGTCGTACACACGGCCAACAGGTCAGCATTAGATATTATATAAAAGGGACTGTCTTCGAAATTTCATTTGACTTGTAATTAAAAATCATAAGGTTACTCTTATTTACATGAACCTTAAATGTCCTTGTACTTTTCTAAAATCACTTTTTTTCTGGTGATGCTTGTCAAACAAAAGTAGTTATTTCTTAACTCTAAGTTTTAAAAAACATAAATGTTTTTGAATTAAAGATAAATATTGTTTTAGATAAACTCATTTCCCTTATCATTGTCAATTCTATTATTATTATTTGTATCATTATTATCATTTGTTAATAGTATTATTATTATTGTATTATTAGTATTATTTTTTATTATTGTTATTAATATAGAGAGTATGGATCCCTGGTTCTCGGAGATAATCCCGAGACTGGAGTTGATGTTGCTCTGGCTCTAGTAGATGAAGGACTTGCAAAGTGCCGCGATAATTGTCAGGTACAAATTTATAGGGTTTCTTCAAGGGCAATGCTTGGGATTTGATTCAGTTTTGTTTTCTTGATTCGGAGTACAAAACTTGTAAATCCAGGGATCAAGAATTTATATCCCACTCGCATTCATAAAGTTTTATCTCCCACTCTCAGTCATAAAGTTTTATCTCCCACTCTCATTCATGAAGTTTTATCTCTCATTCTCATTCATAAAGTTTTATCTCTCATTCATAAAGTTTTATCACTCATTCTCATTTAAAAAGTTTTATCTCCCACTCTTTTTCATAAAGTTTATCTCCCACACTCATTCATAAAGTTTTATCCCTCATTCATAAAGTTTTTTTTCCCATTCTCAATCATAAAAGTTTTATCTCCCACTCTCATTCATAAAGTTTTATCTCCCACTCTCATTCATAAAGTTTTATCTCCTACTCTCATTTATAAAGTTTTATATCCCACTCGCATTCATAAAGTTTTATCTCCCACTCGCATTCATAAAGTTTTATATCCCACTCGCATTCATAAAGTTTTATCTCCCACTCTCATTCACCAAGTGTTATTTCCGAATTCCTATATTTGCAACCTAGGACGCTAACTCGGAGTACAAAACTTGTAAATCCAGGGATCAAGAATTTATCTCCCACTCGCATTCATAAAGTTTTATGTCCCACTCGCATTCATAAAGTTTTATCTCCCACTCTCATTCATAAAGTTTTATCTCCCACTCATTCATAAAGTTTTATCTCTCATTCTCATTCACAAAGTTTTTTTTCCAATTCTCAACCATAAAGTTTTATCTCCCACTCTCATTCACCAAGTGTTATTTCCGAATTCCTATATTTGCAACCTAGGACGCTAACCTACTGGAGGCCCAGGAGCGAGCTAAGGGTTCTAAGAAGGGAGTTTGGGCTGATGATGCCTCCAGTCATGTGAGGAATATCACCTGGGAGGTGGAGAACCCTAGACTTCTTGTTGAGAAGTACAACGGTAGGTAGAACTCCCATCACTCTTTACCCACTTACTACAACCCTACTCGTCAATGTTAAACTCAGGGGTGTTATTTTTCTCGAAAAAGAGTTTTTCTTGCCCCCCCCCCCTTTGAAAATCTTTAACTCTTGGTTTTCAAACTAAACAAAATTTACGATGGTTGATTCTGGGTAATTCAAGACAGAAAAACGACGATATCTTCCTCTATATCCTCCTCATTGTTCATGCGGTTAAGACTAAAGGTTATAGTTGGGAATCCGGCATTTAAGATTTAATTGAGGTTTAATTGAAATTATGTGAACAGTCCCTTCAAACTCATTTAAGGCAACGTTTTAAACTTCCTTTAATTTGACTAATATGCAGGAAAGCCTGTAAAGGCTGTTGTTGAGCATGTAAGAGATGGAACCACTGTCAGAGTTCTCTTGGTTCCGGATTTCATTCAGGTTAGTTTATTTTTGCCTCGCCAGGGGACTCGAACAATTCTATAAAGGGAGTGACCGCGTGAACCTGATAGTTCAGCTGAGAGTGTAGTAATGTAGAGCATTTTTTTTTCGGATTCCTTTGAGACCGTTAAGACGTTTTTACGGTTTAAAATTGTCCAGAAAAAGTGGAAATTCGACGTGCCAAGCCTCCTCATGCCCTGCATGTGGTGACTCGGCACGTATGCCCTATAGGTGGTGGTGCGGCAGACTTTTATTTGTTGTGGATTTTAAAAAGATTTTTTTAGTTCAATTGGGAGTATTAAGAATGAATTTTTTGGTAAAAACTATTGAAAAGAATGATAAAACTTGTAAAAATACACTAATACACTCTGTGATTGTCCGAAACTAGCAATTTCTATCCTAGTTAAACATAAAACTGTCTAGATAACTCTGATGTTGTCTGGAGTAAGATCTCCTGGAACGAAGGACCCTAGTTATATATAAAAATGTAGATACCTCTGATGTTGTCTAGAGTAAGATCTCCTGGAACTAAGGGACCTAGTTTATATAAAACTCTTTAGATAACTCTGATGTTGTCTGAAGTAAGATCTCCTGGAACTAAGACCTAGTTAATACAAAACTCTTAAGATAACTCTGATGTTGTCAGGAGTAAGATCTTATGGAACCAAGACTTAATTATATATAAAACACTTGAGATAACTCTTAAAGCTGTGTCTTGAGTTAGATCTCCTGGAACTAAGACTTAGTTTATATAAAATTCTTTAGATAACTCTGATGTTGTCTGGAGTTAGATCTCCTGGAACTAAGACCTAGTTTATATAAAACTCCAGATAACTCTGATGCTGTCTGGAGTAAGATCTCCTGGAACTAAGACCTAGTTTATATAAAACTCTTTAGATAACTCTGATGCTGTCTGGAGTAAGATCTCCTGGAACTAAGAGCGGACCTGATGGAAAACCTGACCCAGTTCAGAGTGAACTCTACGCAGTAGAGGCACACTACTTTACAGAGTCAAGACTTCTTCAGGTATGTTCAGATTTAAATCAAAATTCGCAATTATTACTCAAGAGGGGGGGGGCTCTTAAATAACTTTACATTTACAGAAAGAAACGTTTATTAAATTTCTTGCCTCTCAAATTGAAATTTCGGAGTCCACAAGTCTCATGATTACTTAAATCCAATTTTCTTAGTCAAAAAGTTTATGTATCACTGATCCAATTTTCTTAGTCATAAAGTTTCTTTTCACTGATTTAATTTTCTTGTCATAAAGTTTCTGATCACTGATACAATTTTATTAGTCAAAAGTTTCCGATCACTGATTCAATTTTCTTAGTCAAAAAGTTTTTGATGACTTTGATCCTTTTCTCGGAGCCAAAAAGTTGCTAATCCGGAACCATGCCTAAGATACCAATGATGTCGATTGTTGTTGTTGTAGCCATTGAAATATAGTAGCGTATATGGACATATGGAAATAAGTGAAGTTTTTCTGGCCACCAACTGAATGAGGTGAAGTTTGCGCACCAGAGAATTTTATTACAACTGTCTCATGGAACCGCATACTTCATCGAACCTACTCAATTTTTACATAACTCTGGTCTATTTGAGTGTTGGTAGGTCATTACGTTGAATGACGTAACATGTTATTGTTGTAGAGGGATGTTGAGGTTATCCTGGAGTCCAGCAGCAACAACAACTTTGTTGGGTCCGTGGTCCATCCAATGGGAAACATTGCGGAGGCTCTTCTCAAGGAGGGGTTGGCGAAGTGTGTAGACTGGTCTATCTCTAAGGTAATTAATACTACAGAAACTCTCTAAATTCCGCCCAGGAAGCTACAGAAATTCTGCTTTGACGAAAATACGAGCTTTTATAGATTTAGCACTAGCTTTAAAATAAGTTGGACAAAATTTGGGGTTTTTAGACAGGTTCCACAAAAGTATGAGATATACTATCTAGGTTACCGGTGGACCTGAAAAGTATAGAAATGCTGAGAAGATTGCTAAAGAGAAACAGTCCAGACTCTGGAGGAACTATACAGCTACACAGTCAACAATTTCAGAGAAGGTATAGTAGTCAAATTTATATTCTGTTTGGGAGTGAGGGAGGTTTCATTAATCTTGGAAATTTTCATAATTAAATGTTTTATTAGTGGTTACTGGTTAGTTTAAGTTTAATCAAAATTTGACAGTAATTAAGTTGGTCAAAATCTGAATTTTTTCTTTATGTATAAAAACACGAGCCCAACTTTCAGGTTTTTTTATGCAAGTTTGATGATCCAAATAGTTTGTAATGGGTGTTGACATTATCCAAATATTCCCCTTGACCACAAGGTTTGATATTAAGGATCGCGAGTTTACTGGTAAGGTTCTTGAGATCGTGAACGGAGACGCCCTGATGGTTAAGGTCGGGAAGGTTGTCAGGAAAATCCATCTTGCATCTATCAGGTTAGACACAAAGAGATTCTCCGTTATTCAGGGGTTAAAGATTTTAAAAAGTAGTTTTTTATGCAAAGTTTTTTGGTGCTTTTAAAGAATTTTCTTATCGCAGTTTTTGGAAAGCACATTATCTTTAAATTTATCTTGAATTTTGTTCAATCATCAAATCCTAAGATTTTGGATCATTTTTTCAATTTTTAATTTTCTTTCTTTCTTTTTTACACAATATCTTATTTTAATAGACCCCCGAGACTAGAGGACAACAAGGAGGACGGAAGTAGGACAAAGCAGAAGGGATTCCGTCCCCTGTACGATATTCCGTTCATGTACGAGGCCAGGGAGTTCCTTAGAAAGAAGCTGATCGGACATAACGTTCAGGTAGGATTCAGGATTCTAGGGGTAATGCTTCAAATAATTTCTCCCCCCTGAGATATTCAATTATCTGTGGGGAAAAATTACATTCGACGTTATCTGGCAAATTTCCACGCTTCTTAATAAAAAAGATAAATTTTGAACCCCAAATTAGCAAATTAAACTTAAACAATAATCCTAATATACTTGGGAAAAAGTACTTTTGTAGTATAAATTATGATTTTACAAGAAAAAATATAATGATAAAGGCAAAATCTTTATTTCACTCATGTTTTCTTTTGTTGTTAGTAAACCTGATAAACAATTTCTCCAGGGCGCAATGCAACTAATTTTTTTTGTATGATTTTAAGTATGATTTTAAGTATAGTTTTTAGTATGATTTAAAGTGATTTTAAGTATAATTTTAAGTATAATTTTAAGTATGATTTAAAGTATGATTTAAAGTATGAATTAAAGTATGATTTAAAGTATGATTTAAAGTATGATTTAAAGTATGATTTAAAGTATGATTTAAAGTATGATTTAAAGTATGATTAGTAGTATGATTTCAAGTAGTATGATTTCAAGTAGTATGATTTCAAGTAGTATGATTTCAAGTAGTATGATTTCAAGTAGTATGATTTCAAGTAGTATGATTTCAAGTATGATTTAAAGTATGATTTGAAAATTCGTAAGTTATGGGCATCCTTTCAAAGAGGCCCCACCAAAAACTGGAATTGCATTCTTGCACCAAATTTGTTATTCTCATAACTGACAAAAAATACATAGCTAAAAGAAAACACATTCCAAGTGTCACTATTTTTTCAATAAATTATTATCTACAGGTTACTGTTGATTATGTGCAAGGTAGCCGGCCTGCTGTAGGAGGAGAACCAGATTATCCTGAGAAGACTTGCTGCACCGTCGTTATCGGTAACATTTGTCTTAAATCATTTTCCAAAATCCAAAATTTAAAAATTTATGAAATTAAGATTTATGTGGATTTTGTTTTTCAAAATTTTTGAAAAAATAATTGATCATTGATTACATATTTTCACTTGTTAGGTTGATAGAATATTTTCATTTTTAAATAGGGGCGTTTTTGATTTATCCTCCGTAAAGTCATATAACTCCATACCTCTGTATGGTTATCGATCCGTCTAATAACTCCCTTCTACCTCTGTATGATTGTTTATTTATCAGTCTAATAACTCCCTACCTCTAAATGGTTATTGTTAATTGACCCGTCTCAAACTTCCTCTGCATTCTAATTGATCTGTCACATAACTCCCTAGTCCCTACCTCTGAATTCTGATTGATCTGTTACATATCTCTCTAGTCCCTACCTCTGAATTCTAATTGATCTGTCACATATCTCTCTAGTCCCTACCTCTGAATTCTGATTGATCTGTCACATAACTCCCTAGTCCCTACCTCTGAATTCTAATTGATCTGTCACATAATTCCCTAGTCCCTACCTCTGAATTCTGATTGATCTGTCACATAACTCCATAATTCCTACCTCTGCATTCTAATTGATCTGTCACATAACTCCCTAGTCCCAACCTCTGAATTCTAATTGATCTGTCACATAACTCCCTAGTCCCTTCCTCTGAATTCTAATTGATCTGTCACAAAACTCCCTAGTCCCTACCTCTGAATTCTTATGATTGATTGATGCAGATGATTGATGCCAATGATTGATATAGGCAAATGGCTGATAAATTGATTGTGCAAATGATAAATTGATTGAGCACATGATTGATTGATGCCAATGATTGATTCTGTATCCAGGTATGATGAGTTACTGCAGGCCGAGGATAAAGCCCAGAAGACCCTGAAGGGTTTACATGACAAGAAAAATGTTCCCAAGCACAAGGTTAACGATATGACAGGTATATAGCAGATGGCTTATCAATAATATCTTAGTTGGGATTACTTTTACCTTATTAAATAAAAATATATATTGTGTTTATGAGTTGTGATCGGACGGACAAACAGAGATTACAACTTGTATATATATCTAAATTAATTGTTGTTTTTCTGTTGTAATTGGACAAATCTATACTTTTCTTTGTTCCAAAGGTTTCTAAGGTTGCCGTTGTAAACTTCTAATGACACTGTTATTGTTAACAGAAAGNAAATTGATTTTAATTGATATTTATATCCTCACCTAATCAGTAATCATATATTCAGGGTGTAGTGGAGTTTGTAGCTAGTGGATCTAGGTTCCTATTTATCCTCCACTAATCATATATTCAGGGTGTAGTGGATTTTGTAGCTAGTGGATCCAGGTTCCTATATATATCCCCTCCACTAATCATATATTCAGGGTGTAGTGGAGTTTGTAGCTAGTGGATCCAGGTTCCTATTTATATCCCCTCCACTAATCATATATTCAGGGTGTAGTGGAGTTTGTAGCGAGTGGATCCAGGTTTCGAGTATTCATTCCTCGTGAGACTTGCATCCTAACTTTTCTTCTTGGTGGGATCAACTGTGTTAGGAGCTCGAGGTCTATGCCATCCGGAGAGGTAATAAATACTGACACGCTTATGAAAAAATATAACATTCAATAGGATTTTTTTAAAAAAAAAGGGTTTCCACTTGTTTTGACACTTGTTTTTCAAAAGTTATAAATTTCTTGCAAGTTTTCATTTAACAAGGAGATTTTTACCTCAAGAAAATAAACATCTTTGTGACGCCCCTCCTTTCCCCACTCCCTTCATCCTTCCCCCCGGGAGAAATAAAAATGCCCCTCCTTTCCCCACTCCCTTAATCCATCCCCCCTGGAGAAATAAAAACCCCCCTCCTTTCTCCACTCCCTCCATCCATCCCCCCTGGAGATATAAAAAAAAACCCTCCTTTTCCCACTCCCTCCATCCATCCCCCCTGGAGATATAAAAAAACCCCTCCTTTCCCCACTCCCTTCATCCATCCCCCCTGGAGATATAAAAAAAACCCCTCCTTTTCCCACTCCCTTCATCCATCCCCCCTGGAGATATAAAAAAAACCCTCCTTTTCCCACTCCCTTCATCCATCCCCCCTGGAGATATAAAAATAGCAATTTTTAAAAACTTACAACCTGTTGTGTCCAGGTGGTTAAAGGGGACGCCTACGGTGACGAGTGTCTGCTCCACGTCAAGGAGATGGTGATGCAGCGCGAGGTCGAGATAGAGGTCGAGAGCATGGACAAGGCCGGCAACTTTATTGGATACATGTGGGTGGACAACAACAACATGTCCGTACACTTGGTCCAGGAGGGGTTCGCCTCAATGCATTTCACCGCTGACAAGTAAGTTATATTCTGAGTCGAAATAAGAAAGAGATCGAATTTGGAGAAAAATGATACCATTCATTAACTACCAATCTTTAAAAAAATAATAAGTGAAGAAAAACGCCGCGAAATAAAAGTCCGGGAGGTAGACTCCCACCACGAGTATTTAATCCAATGCTAAAAGCATTTAAAGCTTATGAAGGAAGGAATCCGGTATCATGGCTCAAATTTGGTCCGACGGTTGGTTTAAGATATGTCAGGCTGAAAAGCTTTGACCTGGGAGGGATTGTTGAAAGGTACCTGATAACTCTTTATACCTATCTTGCACATAGTATCTGAAAGGATACAAACTTTAATCTAAAACATCTGAAACATTGTACATATAAAGGGTATTTATATTATGCCCGATTACAGGTCATTTAACACAATATTTACAGGTTATTTACAATCACACATTCATTATATTTTCTATTTTTAAAATGAGCTTTGAAATGTTATTTCTTCTTTCTACTGCCCTCCTGTGCTTCCTTCTTCCTTATGTTCTTTCTTTCTGTCTTTAGCCTGGCTATCACCAGTTCTACTACCTCTATTTAACATTCCTTGGCATCTTGAATTAAATGTCGAGTTTTTATATTTAAGTTTGTGAAAACTCGTGTATTCGTGTTATTAACACACGTTGTACATAAATAGTCAGAACACTCTTGATGATCGGTCAATAATTGTGAAACTTTTAGGGCTCAGTATGGTAACATGATCAAGAATGCCGAGGATAACGCTAAGAAGGCGCTTAAGAGAATCTGGACTAACTACACTGGAGAGGCAGAGGTACACTTTGGGAGATTGGGGGGGAGGGGTGGGTGGTGGTAACGTTATATCTTTGGTCTATGGAGTGGACATGGTATTGGAAATCTTGAAAGTAATTTTTGATGGTTTTCTATTTTCCTAAAGCCTTCAGTTTGGAGGAACACAGAGGTGAGACAAGTTTAAAGCTTTATTTGCAGCCCATCAAGTTACGTTTGTCTGATCATCTATCGGAATATTTTATAACACTTACAAGACGCTTTAGATCTGTATTTTAAAAATCTCTCAAATATTCGGCATATATTTTTATAATTCAATATTTGGAGGGGAATTCAATTTAAACTTGCATCGCTTTTAATTCTTTTATATTATTTGCCTAAACTTTTTTTTTGTGGGGTGATCTGATCTCGCATCATCCAGACAGAACAAACACTAGGCTGTGAGAATATCGGAAATATGAAGACGACATTATTTTTTTTTGAAAATTCAGGAAAGTTTTGTTCAAATCGGTGAACTTATTTTGTTTTGTTTTACATTTAAACAAAGAGAAAATGTTCACAATTAAAATAGAAGATACGACTAGTATTTATATAATCACAAAGAATGACAAGAAACTAATTGCATGTTAAATGTACATAGTACAACTATAATGATGGTAATAGTAAACAAAACAGAATTTTGTAAACATTTACGTTAAAAAATGACAAAAGTTTGTATTGCAACTTGCAAGGGGTACTAACGTATCTTAATTGTACAAATATGTATCCTCTTGGCTTCAATGGACTTAAAGAATGTCGTCTTCTAAATATATTCGAGTCTGGTGTTTGTCCAGTCTGGATTATGTGATCTTGCTGAAATATTTCTTATCTATGTACATTGTAAGATCATGCTCTCATTGTTTAAGAAAACATATGTGAATGATAATGACAAAACTCTAGGTTGTTAGAGAGGAGGAGGAGGCAAAGACCTTGAATGAGGACAGAAAGGTTTCCTACGAAAAGGTAAAATTTGCTCAAACTATTCAAGATTTTTCATAAAAAAACTGAGCTTTGTGAGCAATTGGCTGGACTAATTAAATCGATGACAGAGAAATAGTTGTCGCTTAATCTGTCAAGACTTGAAGATTCTCATTTATTCCAGTTTTTTCGCTAGATTTTAATTAATTCAGTTATATTTATTTAAAGTATTTGATTGAATTTATGCGATTCGTTATAATTGTTATAATTGTTCAGGTTTTATGGTTGATATTTGATGTGTTTGGTTAGATCGAAGCTCGGCTGTTTTATTTATAATTTTCGTGATAGTTGATATTGATTTATTGATTTTCCAGGTCCTTGTGTCCGAGGTCACCGACGAGGCTAAGATTTACGCCTGCAACGTAAACGACGGTCCTGCCCTAGAGAAGCTAATGGACTGCCTCAGAGAGGAGTTCACAGCTAACCCACCGGTAAGTTATCATGCAATCATGTTTTTTTTTAGATTTAAAATTGTGTCAATTTTATACCGAAACAAATTGTGACGATTTTATACCTCTCTGAAACGACATGTGTCGCCGAAATGCCCGTCAGGATTTAAGTAATTTGAATAGTTTTAGGGGGCGGAGGGGTTGAGTTAAGTCTATTTCTGTTTCCGCCTAAAATAAATTATGTAGTTCATATTTAGTATTTTATAATTTCTAACGATTTTTTTTTTTTTGAGACGAAGTACATCCTTTTCTACCGCCTCTTGCTAATAGACTCGAACCATCTGATTTTTTTGATAGATCGGATTGTCAAAATTTTTTTAGCTGGCCGGTGCCTACCAACCCCGGAAGAATGACCTGTGTGCTGCCAAGTTTACTGACAACCAATGGTACAGGGCCAAGGTGGAGAAGGTGTCTCCCACCTCCGTCAACGTTCTTTACATCGATTACGGAAACCGGGCTGAAGTCCCCAAAACAAAGGTAGGATTTTTCAATATTATTGCGGAACAGGTGCCAGTAGTTTTGTTTTGTTGCCGCTAGATGGAGTTGTATATTTAGGTTGCCAGCTTGCCAAGTAGTTTCACTACTCCAGGAGGATTCGCTAAGGGATATAACCTTGCTCTGTGCAGGTAAATATTTATTTACATCTTTAAGAAACAATAATGTATATTTAATTTTAGGGTTTTATTTGCTAAATTTGGGAAAGTAAATGATTTTAGGGGAAATAATATAATTTGGGTAAAAAGTATGTAAATGGATGAAAAATTAGCCTTTTGTTGAACAAATTTTCATTTTTCCCACACAGATCATTTCCACTTCTTTTAGTTGAATTTCTGCAAATCTTATCAAACTAAAGATAACTTTAAAGTTCTTTCTTGAATATTCCCTTAAAAGAATGATTTTTTAAGAATACATGATCGTCTAGTTTATTATGATTTCATGTCTAGTTTGCCCGGAGATGAAGAGCTTGCTGGTCTAGGTATCCAGGGACTAAAGGAGGATCTTCTTGATCAAACCGTTAAGATGAATGTTGAATACAGGTAGAGAAATGTCGTCATTTCAATGGCTAGGTAGTTAGGACTTAAGAGAAAAAAAGTTATATTTATATAAAAATAATGTGGAGTGAAATTAATTATTAAATCCAAAACTATTGTTTACCAAGTTGATGACTAAAAAGAGGTAATATGTGGGACGGGAAGAATAGAGGACTGTAAGCGTGTATTTAAGTGACACCCTGTGCAAAGATGGCTATGTCCAATTCACAATGGTATCCTCAAAAACCTTTATCTGATCTATGATGTGGAAATGTTGTTCAAAATTTCAACTCACATAATGACTAAATCGTTTCCTAAAGTAACAATTGAAAATATACAGTTTTCAAAATTATGAACATTGATTTCTAATTCATTCTTCATCAGGCAATCGGGCATACTCATCGTTGAATGGAGGGTCTCTTGAAATTATGCTTACAGTCTCATTAAGAAAATAAATCAACTGACCCTTCTCTTATAGTTATCTACTCAATCCTGAATGGTACAAGGATATCACGGAAAGCCTAAATTCCTTATTTTTTCTTCAGAATAAGGGTGTAAAGGTTAACTTTATAGATGGAGGGTTCCGTAGAGTTTCGTCGACAATTCCTTTAAAAAAGTTCGCCAAATTAAACCCTTCAAAATAAATTTGTCTGACCGAAGATTGTTTTGTATAGAGTTGGAACTGACAGTTTTGTCACCTTCCACACCGAGGCTGGGGAGGATATTGGTAAAGGTCTCGTAGGAGACGGTTTACTTCTGGTTGACCGGAAGGGAGGACGTAAGCTCGCTGCTCTGGTCAAGGAGTACGAGGATGCCATGGCACGCGCTAAGAAAGATCATCTTAACATTTGGCGCTACGGAGACATCACTGCCGATGATGCCAAGGAGTTTGGAACTGGCAAATAATAAGGCAAAGGTTCATTCTTTAACATGATATTAGCGCCATTTTTATTTCAAGGCGAAAATCGGATTTTTTATTCGACTTAATACCATTTTTTTTTGTTTTCAGGAAGGCCCCTTATTCTGCCGATATAAATTAATATTTTCAGAAGTTTACTCACAACTGTTTTGTTGGTAAATTGTTAACTTATTCTGACAGGAATGTAACCTTTGTTAAGTTGTTCCAACTCTCAATCCTCCGGCATCAAGGTTTGCTGGATTCTGGAAAACCAGTTAAATAAGGGACAAAATGCAGAAATAAAGAGTTAGGTAACTAAAGTGGGGGTCTAACCACACGGCCCCACTTAACAACAGTGATAAAAGGGAAACCTGCATATTTTTGATAAATTTTATTTGTTATAAACCCATGAGTGTAAATGTTTTTATTATTGTTTCTCTTTGTGCTAAATAATATTTGATATTTTTCTAAATCTTCGAGATTCCAACATACTACCACACCAACCACCACTGTGCATTTGTTCTCGCTACGAGCGCGTATTTTCAATGTATTTCACATTATGTTCCAGTTTCAGTTTAACTGTTGAAATATATTGTTAGTATGTAAAATTCTTCTATTTTACTAATCTCTGGCAATCCACATATTTAGGATTAAATCTTTTTTCAACCACGTAACTATACAAACGGATACATATTTTAAATTGTAATTATCGCAAAGGGTGCATGCATCTATACTATCAAAACACACGTCGTACACATTATTAAATCTGCGAAAACGTGCTTTTAAAGATTTTAAATTTAATCTTGTTTTGAGAGAGAGATATATGTCAATAAGGTTTTCGAGCATTATCAGTTGAAATCAAAAGAAGAAAAGATTTAATGTTAAATTTAATCATAAAAAAGTTGCATGAATGCAGATCTTTTCTATCAAGATTGTATTTTAAGATTTTTTTTAAGTGCAGCCATTTTGTTGATGTTGGAAGAAAGTTTTTCTCAACCAATTATATTCCTTTGTTGAAAAAAAAAAACGTTAGAAAGGAGATGAGAAATGTTTATTTTTTTTAAACCTAACCTAACCTAACCTTTTGTATATAAATCATTAATTTTTTTCATCATTTTATATGTAATTTAATTTGTTGTGAGGCATTGCAAATGACGGACATTTTGAAAGAAGGAAAAACTTTTAGTTTATACTTTCAAAGATATTCGATAGTAATACTAATTTCATGATCATTTATCTCTTGTAGAGTTTCATTAATGCCATGACGTTTGGACATGTATAACAACATGCTCCAGTATTGTACATCGTAACGAAAATTTCTAAATTTTTCATTAACTGTACCTTTATTTTTGGTGATAATTTTAAGGTTAATTGATATCCGTTTGAAAGCTTTATACATTCGAAATATAAAAACCGACTAAGACTACGAAAACAATTAAAAACTGCAAAGTTGATGTCAAGTTTTCGGTGTTGAAGCCTAATGTAGGGTATTGTGCATGGCTTAAATGGTTATATACTCGTATTCGATAAGAACTAAAAGTTCTAAAACTATTTAGTCTATTGGCAGGATTTCATTTCGTTTTTTTATGTAATGATGATTTTTATATGCTCAAATCAAATCGTGAATTTAAAGCCTTCATTTATTATTGTTTATGCCGAACGAGTTAAAGGGATAAAAAGTATCTTGTCCATGCAGAATGCCGATAGGTTGTCACCATTAAATCAGCAAGCTAAATTGTTTTATTTTATTTATAATGGATTTGGTGGAATTGTCGGGCTCGTCGGGCTTAACTTCTCGATTAATTTACGTTTTAAGATTTTAACATCCTTTTAATAACAGAATTTGTGAATACCACTTTTATCCAAATTTGCTTATTTTCGTAATTTCCAACCCTAGAAACCGAAAAGTATCAGATATAATTTCTTGGAAATTTAAAGAGATTATGATGATAAATAAAGGGTGGGAATAATGACAAAAAAGTAATGGTAGCTATATGGAACCCGCATAGCAGCTGTTGTAAATAGAATAGAAATGGGGACGTACATTGAGGATGAAGAAATGTGACATACATACATACTTCTCATGAAGTTTTCTATTGTAGACCCTTGTAACACAAATCTTACAGAGGAAGTTTAAGTATTCAATTCAAGTTGTTAAAAAACCGTATTTTTAAAAATGGCGACTCAATAGAAAAGAATTTTTTAATAAGGATGAAATTACCTGTATTTTCTTAAACATTATAGAATAGGTGATTAAGAAGCACCTGCCATTTATTTAATTATCTTGGTAATGACGCTTTGAAATAATTCTTTTCTCGACAAATTATTATGATTATGAAGCCCATATTACAGGACAAACCATGTAGTCCTTGACACACAGTTTTAAACTACACGAATTATAATATAACTCGAATAGCATGAGACTGAGAAGACGAGTTCTAAGGTGATTGTTTCAAGAGGCGCACGGGGGGGGGGGGTTGCCCTTACCTGACTTTGCCCCTCCCCTCTAGACTTTTAAACGGGGGAATTTTCAATTTTAAGGTTTTAATAAACCGAATTGTGTGAATTACATGACATTACATCGTATCTAACCATATTCTACGATATCACCTTAAAACAATCTCCAGCGACCCGCCTTATTCAAAATAAATTTGGGTACAAAAAATAAACCCACAAATATACGAAATTGCCAAATGCTGAAGGAGTATAATGTCCAAGTGTGACATATCAAATTAAGTAAGGGGAATAGAAAAGATGCTTCCACCATCTATTCCATGATCCACTCCACCATCTACATTATCATCTTAACCATCTCTCCTCCATCTACTCTATTATATACTCAACCATCTATTCCGTAATCCACTCCTCCATCTACATTATCATCTTCACCATCTCTACTCCATCTTCTCTATTATGAGCTCAACCTTCTATTCCAACATCTATTCCATGATCCACTCCTCCATCTACATTATCATCTTCACCATCTCTCCTCCATCTGCTCTATTATGAACTCAACCATCTATTCCAACATCTATTCCATGATCCACTCAACCATCTACATTATCAACTTCACCATCTCTCCTCCATCTACTCTATTATGTACTCAACCATCTAATTCCACGATCCACTTCACAATCTACATAATCAACTTCACCATCTATTCTTATCTACTCTACATCTACTGCACGATCCACTCCACCTTCTACATTATCAACGTCACCATCTCTCCTCATACTCTCTACCATGTACTCCACCATATATTCCACGATCCACTTTAGTATCTACTCAATCATCTGCTCCACCATCTACAATATCTACTATACCATCCCCACTATCATCTGCGCCCCCATCTTCAAAATCTACTCCACCATCTACTTAATTATCTACCTCCCAGTCTACTCCACGATCCCCTGCACCATCTACTCCATCATCAAACTACTTCACTTTCTACTTCACGATTCACACATCACCATCCACTGTATTATCTACTCCACCACGTACTTCACCATCTTCTCAACTGCAAGCTACTTCACCTCTACTTCACAATTTAGTCCACCATGTACTCCATTATGCATTCCACAATCTACTCAACCATGCACTACTTCACTTTATACTCCAGTCCCTTGTTTACCTTCTTCTCTACCATCTACTTCATTATTAGCTTTACTATCTATTATACCATTGACTCCACCATCTATTCGACCATCTATTCTACCATCTACACTATCATCAACTCCACCATCTTTTTCTACCATCTACTCAACCATCTACCCAACCATCTACTCAACCATCTACCCAACTATCTACTTCACCATCAACTCCATCTGAACTTCACCATCAACTCCAGAATCTTTACTCCATCATTTTATTCACCATCTACTCAACCATCTATTCCATTATCTACTTCACCAATACGCCAGAATATATATTCCACCATTTACTCCATTATCACCATTTTCTCGACCATCTACTCTACTCGGCAGGACATTATTTTATTGTGTTTGTGTTTTGTGTACTTCACCATCTTCTCCGCCATCTACTTCACCATCAACTTCACCATCTACTTGAACTATCTTCTCCGCCATCTACTCCACTCGGCAGAACCTTGATTTCTGTGTTTTTATTCATTTACCAACATCAGAATTATTCTGACCCATCTTAATATTTCAGATTGACATAATGTAGAATGCCGCGTTCTGGAAACCGTGAGCTCTGGACCACTCTTCCTCACACTTCGGAGGAGGAAGAAGAGGAGGATATCGAACGACAAAAACCAGGGCCCAGGTAAGGATTAATTGTCAGAGCTGGAAAGTTTTGAATGCGATTGAGTTAAGATACTTAGTTTAATTCTCAAACTTTATCTGGATTTAGGAAATTATAATCTTTTTGTTTCCCTAATTTTTATATTATTCGTTATGCTGGTAGGTGATGTTGGGGGGGGAGGTGGTTTCCCGGTTGTTTAATATTAGCAACAACATTTTATCGCATCTTTCTCAGAGAAAATTTTGACTTGGCTATAATTTAAAATTATCAAACGAGGAATTTTAGTATTTTTTTTTATAAATAAGTGATAACAATTTTTTGATTATATCTTGAAGGAGTTGGAAGATGAAGAAGAAGAAGGAAGAAAAGAAGGAGGATAGTGCTACTGCTGATGTAGATGATCTGCTCCTCAGTGGATCGGATGGAGAGGAACCAGTTCAGGAACAAACAGGTTAAAAGGATTGTTCGGAATAAATAGACTGCGCCTCTGCTAGAACCAAAAATTGAAACTAAGAATCGATAGACACTATTTTTATTTCTATTGGATGTTTCTGATCTTACTACATGGAAAAGAAACGTCAGTTTCTTTGAAAATAATTTATTTCCCCCGCCTCCCCTGTTCAAAAAAAACATTTTTTCTCCCATAAATTAGAGATGTTTGCACGGAGCGCTAAAACTATTAAAGTTTTTTCCCCGCTCAATATGAGAAAATAAATTAATAATAAATTCTATAAAAAAAACGTCCCAATTTTTGTTAGAATATTTCTATAAATATAAGATTTTCTAGTAAATAATTGCATTTTTGAAGCTTTTTGGAAATCAAATAAAGAATGGGACTTTACATATGTAGTGGGACTGTAAATTTGTAGAGGGACTGTAAATATGTAGTGTGACTGTAAATATGTAGTGGGACTGTAAATATGTAGTGGGACTGTAAATATGTAGTGGGACTGTAGATATGTAGTGGGACTGTAAATATGTAGTGGGACTGTACATATGTAGTGTTAAAACAAAATTTCCTGAATTATGAACAACTTCCTATCATATTGATGGGGGATGGGGGCCGCGGGAAAATCTTGACAACTGACTAATGAAGAAATGATATTTTAGTTTTATATTCAATATTCATACTAGCTTGAGAACCCAGAGTTGCCCAATGTACTCATAGTTACTCCCGCCGTTTACCCGCGCTTGTTCGCAAATACGATTTTAGCTATTTTACCCTATAAAACTAGACCCACTCAACCTAAAATCTATAAACCAAATACAGAACACTCCCGAGGGTCTCCAAAATTCCGCAATCAAATTTTGAGCCAAAGGGGTTCCTGAGTTATAATCGGACATCCAAACAAACAATCAAAAGAGATAACAACTTTATAATAATAACAATAAGTATAAGAACAACCACAGTTAAAAGGATTGTGCCCCCGTTTAAGGGAAGATGACTATGTATTTTTAATATTTTATAGGCGGGGATAATCCTGCAGAGGACAATGGTGAGGACATTGAGGAGATAGAGGACGAGATATACGAGGACAATATTGTACTAGGTAGGACAAAATGTATAGGGGAGGGAGGGGGGGGGAGAGAAAAAACAAAATGATGATTAGGTACAAACAATTTATATATCAATTTTTATATCAATGTACATGATATTCAATTACTACAGTGGGCCATAGAACTGTGAAATAAAAAAAAGATACATTCAAGCTAACTGATACATATTTGATGTTGTTAAAAGGCAAATAGATGTTTAAATATCAAGTGAAACGGTTCTGTGAATATTGCGTAGAGCACAATTGCACTATTTTACGAGTCCCACTATATTAGAGTTCAAAATATAAAATTTGCGAGTTTTGAGATTTAAAATTGATTTATGCTAGGAAACTCGAATCTCCAGGATCAAGATCTAGATGAAGAGAAGAACAATGAACAAGACGAGGAGAAAGAAGATGAAGAGGGGGAAGAGGGTGAGGAAGAAGAGGGGGAAGAGGGTGAGGAAGAAGAGGGTGAGGAGGGAGAGGATAATGTGGGTGAGGATAATGAGGTGGGTGATGAAGAAGAGGGGGATGAGGAGGATGAAGGTGAAGAAGAAGAGAGTGAGGGTGAAAAGGAGCACGAAGAAAATAACGATAATGAGGAGGACGATGAAGAAAATGATCATGAAAAAGATAAGACAAAGAAAAAACTCCCCTTGAAAGAAAAAGCTAAAAAACAGGAGTCGGAAGATCAGTTTCTGTTAAAAGAACAAAATTCGTCCATTGTTGGTGAATCAGAGCAAAGATTGACGGATTCTCCACGTGGAAATAAATCAGAATGTCGAATCTGTGGATCAATTCTTGCTCAGGTATCTACCTCCCGCTAATCTCAATCGGGCTTTGATCTTAATCCTGATCCTAATCCTTATTCTTATTCTAATCCTAATCTTCATTTTAATTTTAATCCTTCTAAAATTATTCCTCCTGAGGTCGGAGCTGTTCTGTTAATACAAATGTACCAGAACTCGTTATTCACAAGCAGAATCCGTTAAATACAACTGACTCTTAGTTTTTCGATCTTCCAATCCATTGACCTTCAGAAATGTCATAAAGAATCTAGATTTTAATCCCGATCCTAATCTGGATATTAATCCTAATTTATAATTTTATCTTAAATCTACTTCAGCTATTAATCCTGAATGATTTATCCTATTCATAATAATTCTAGTCCTAATTAAGTTCCAATCTAAATAATAATTTTGATTTTAATCCTAATATAGATTTGATCCTTATCTTGCTATTTATTATGATCCTACTTTTAATTAAAATTAATCCCAATCTGGATTTTATTCCTAATAATGAGAATATTTAGGGTAGACTGGAGAGTCATGAAGGTTTGCCCCACCCTGTCTCCTGCACTCAACCTGGTTGCAACAAGTAAGCGTTGATATGATTTTTTTTTAAATATGATGTTCTGGATCGGGTTTTTAAATGTCAAAAATTAGTCAAAATGACTTTCGTTGTTAATGACCCTCCAATTTACAACGGTACCCTTAAAATCTTTGTAAATCAAAACTGTATCATTAAAAGCTTTGTTAATCTCGAAACCGAATGAGATATCGAGAGTTTTTAACTTGTACATTTTCAATTGTGGGTTTTCTTTGAATGTGATTTTTGCAAATCTGCTGCAGAAACAATTAAGAAAAAGTTTAAGCTAGAATTACGACGATGTGAAACGGAAAGTGGCCAAAAGGTGCATGAAACGAATAAAATAATTTTTACCAAGCATCAATCAAAGCCATTAATGTGTTGGTTTTGAATTATGCAGTAGCTTTCATTTTACCATTTCTTCTGTATTTAATTGTATTTTTTTACATTTTCAAAATGTCGACTGGAAAATATATTTAAAATTTTGCTAGGATGTTCATATTAGAGAAGACGATGGAGAGACATAGGAAAACCGTGCACAATCAATCAATCAATCAACCAATAAAATCAATCAATCAATCTGTTCCATTCATCGATAACATGGTAATAGTCTAGAATTAGTAAAAAATCCACAACATATCTTCATTTTGATTCAACTTTTTAAACTATTTGTTCAAAAAAAAATTATTTGATACTGAAGAAAAACATGATAAAATGTTAAAATAATAAACTTCCAGGTTGGAAAGGAACAAGGAATGGACGAAAACCAAGAACAAGGAGGTATTGGAAAATACGTTTTTAATCTTTACTTTTTAAAAAGAATTCTCTAGTTTTGTGTTTGTTCACAGTTAAGAGTTGTGATTTTAAACACCAATTTCGTTGTCATCATGACAGGTTTCAAAATGTTTAGGCACTAGAGCTACCAGAACTCGAAATGGTAAAAATATAAGTGGAAATCAAGGAGATAAGAAAGGAGAGTATAAAAAAGGCAGGAGAGGAAAACAAAAGGTAGTTAAAGAAGAAGACGAAGTTATGGAAGAGGAGGAGGAGAATGTAAAGGAGGAGGAAGAGGAAAATGTCAATGAAGAAGCTAAAGATAATAAGAATGAGGAAGATGAAGAAAATGAGGAAGATGAGAGTAATGAGGAAGATGAAGAGAATGAGGAAGACGAAGAGAATGAGGAAGATGAAGATAATGAGGAAGATGAAGATGGTGAGAATGAGAATGAGGATGTGGATGAAGGGGATGACGGGGATGAGTATATAGATCCTGATGTTGGACCGTTCATTTGTAAATTCTGTAAGGTTGGATTTAGATTTTTTCTTTCTTTCAAAAACCAAGTTCAAGATTAATAATGAGCTATTATTGTTTGTTTTTAGGAAAATAAATATATTTCTGTGCATCAAAGTTAAAAATGGGGAAAGAAAAAGCTCGTTTTTTCCCCTTAAAGCATGAAAATTATTGAACCCTGGTTTGATCTCCTCTTTACATTTGTTGTTTGATTAGGAGGAGTATAAGAGCTGGGGATCTTTAACCCGTCACTTTATCACTCCTCACCTGTTCAGCTGCAAGTTCTGTCCACTCACCTTCAACAGGCAAACCAGCCTAGAGGATCACGTCAACGCACTTCATGATCTGGTAAATTCAATATTTTTGATTTTTTCTGAGATGTAAATAAATTTCATCTGGAATGTTTTTGATTTTTCTTAGATGTTAGGATCCATTTTCAACAACAAAAATACCTAATGTCTGGTTAATTTCCTATTTGTTATTTAATTTTATTTTCCCTTGATTAAAATGTATTGAATTAAGATGTTGTTGTATTGTCGTAACCAATTGGTACATTAATGGCTGTATGTTATGGCTATTTTTGGCGAAGTTTCAGCCCTAACTTTTACGGAATTATGGCTTGTTTGTTTGTTTGCTTATGAAACTCCGCCTCAAAGGAAAGATGCCTCAAGCAATCCCTGCAAATAATGATTTTATTTTATTTATGATCTGATGTTTTTAACGAAGACTTAATAAAAATGTGTTTAAACAGGTTGGTTCCATTGATTCCACAGAATGCGGTGTATGTGGTGAGCAATTTTCTCGTCCTAGCACGTTAGCAAGGTATATTTTTTATGAAACTTAATTTGTTTAAAGAGTTAACTTTTACTTAAATTTTTTGTTTGTTTAGACATATAAAAGCCCCACATGACTTCGAATGCAAGAAATGTGATAAAAAGTTTGTCACTGTGGCTTTCCTAAGGAAGCATTTACCAGTATGTCCCAACAAACATCTTCCATCGGACGACAGCGACGACGAAAAAGAGAAAGTCAAACCAGGAAAACGACGACGTGGAATAAAAGGAAAGGGTAAGAAGGAAGAATCCGATGATGAGGAAAAGGGAACGGCGAAGAAAAGGAAAAGTGTCGGGAAAACAAAATTTGGCAGCTTGAAGGAAAGCTCAGTCCAAACAGAAAAAGGGAAGAAAAGAGTAAATGTTGGCAAAACTCCTGTAAAATCAAGAAAAAATGCGGGGAAAATAAATCGCCAAGAATCCACGGAAAGTGTGGAAAGTATTCTAGAGGAAGGGGAAGAAAGCGAAGAAGATGTATCTTTCCCAATGATTGGAAAAGGCAGTTCAGGTAAAGATTCTGAATGCATCTCTGATAAGAAACGAAAGTCTGGAAGGGTCATAAAGCAGGAATCTGCTGATATTGAAGATTCAAACGAGTCTGATAATGCTGAAGAAGAAAATCAAAAATCCAAGAAACTGAAACAATTATCAGATGATGATGATTCTGCTGATGATATTAATTTGACTGAACGGTTGAACAAAAACAAAACATTGTCGCCTAAAAAGAATAAATTGCCTGAAAAGACTAATCAAGACCTAAAGAATGATGAAGAGGAAAATGAGGAGGATGAAGAATCAACGATTGTTAAAGAACCATCCAAGGAGGCAATTTGCGACCTGTGTGGACTTGTGTTTCCTAAAGCAAGTGTGAAACGCCACAGGGCAAGACTGCACAAATGTCCCTGTAAGATATGTGATAAAATATTCATATCTAAACCTAAACTTAACATACACATGAAATCTCACGAGACTAAAACCTCAGATGATTTCGAATGTGAAGTTTGTGGGATTACTTTGTCCAAACTAGGAGGTAAGGTTCAAACTAAATTAATTGCTGAGCACATATCTCTTGAACATAGATTTGGTTGCACAAGCTGTCCTAAGAAGTTTACAAGTGCTGAACGGTTAAATGTTCATGCCTGGGGTTCACATCAAGCCGAACTTAATAAAGAATTTCAGTGTTCCTATTGTCAGACTGAGTTTACCAACAAGGACGGTAGTACTAGGATTCTAGAGTTCGAGGAACATATCTTTACCAATCATAAAGTTGACTGTAAGAAAGGCGGAATCAGGGTTACCGAAGATGAAAATCATGTCTTCAGCTCTGTGGAGCTACCTACTGAAGAAGCACTTGAGCACATTGACCCAATCTGCAACAAATGCGGGATTGAATTCGAATCACAAAACCTTATTCGATCACATTCTAAACTCCCCCATCCATTCGACTGCAGTGATTGTGATCTCCACTTTATCTCAGAGCCGAGGCTACGCTTCCATACAATCATCAGTCACGAGGCTGAGGATCAAATAAAGACGGATTGTACCGTGTGCGGAGCAAGGTTCACAGAGATACCGGAGTATCTTCAACATTGGGAGACACCACACTCCCAACCCTGTGAGAAGTGTGAGCTTAAGTTCATTGATGTTTCAAGCTTGAATAAACACGAGAGGACAGCGCATCCTATTGTTTTGGTTTGTGTCGAGTGTAAACTGGATTTTACCGGAGAGCCTGACGAGTATTCAGACCATACAGAGCTTATTCACAAGATCCATTGTTATATTTGTGAACTAAAGTTTGTCAAGAGTTTGCAGTTAAAAAAGCACATGCAAAGCGAGCACAAAGATGAGGAATTAAAATGTAAGATGTGTGAACAAAGCTTTGGGGATTTCTGGCAACAATTAGAGGCACATTTAAAAGAACCACATAGGTAAGTAAGCTGTCTAATTCTTATACTAAACAATATTTTTTGAAAATTTTCAATTAACCCCTTTTTTCTTTTTTCCTTTTTTTCCTTTCTATGTTTTATGTCATTTTTTGGAAATAGATTTTCTGGAAAAGTAAAATTCGATACTTTTACAGTGAAGCCACAGTTGAAATAATCATTTCCGAGAGGTTAAAAAGGATATCTGAATCATCTTAATAAGACCGTAGAAAATTGACATGACACTCTTTTAATGGAGAGTCATTTGAAATTACTAATACTGTCACTTAAACAATTAATTTTTATCCTAGGTTTGCTTGCACCTCCTGTCCTATGAAGTTCTTGAGTAAGGAAGAGGAGGAGAAGCATCTTCTTGATGCCCATGGTGTAGTTAAGGGACTTCTCCTGGATTGTGGACAGTGTCAGCAACAGTTTGCGGAAACTACAAAGTTTAGGAAAACAATTAAAAATATTGCATTTATAATTTGCCTTTATAAAAAAAAATTTCAGCAACATCAAATTATAATAACTTCTATTTTATTTTACAATATTTTTATTTTTATTTTTCTCAGAGAGCATTTTAAACTTCCACATCCTCATCATTGTGCCGATTGTGAGCACAAATTTGTAACCCCTCAGGTGCAGTTTTTAAAATAATTTTTGTTCTTGCTTTTTTTTTAAATTATAAGCTTATCATGTGAAATATACATGTGTGTGTAACTACTAACTTAAGCTAAATATACCAGCTTGCTTAACCATGGTAATTTCTTCATTTTTCATGTTTTGCCCTGCAGTTATGAATTCAGCAAAATTAATATTATTTATGGTTAGGTTAGGTCAAGTCAATTTCTGGGCCGAGCGCTTCGGCTAGGACAGGGTAGGTGAGGCCGAGCGCTGCGGCTAGGTCAGGCTAAGGGGCCGAGCGCCGCGGCTAGGACAGACTAGGGGCCCGGGCGCTGCGGCCACATGATCAATTATATCCATGTGTTACATATAAGATCCATGTACTAAATCGTTCTCTAGGAAATCACCCAGTAAAATCAATTTAAAAAGTTAGCAAGGTTTAAATAAAATATAAGTAATGCAAGTATTTTATTCTAGTATTTTTTATTGATTATCTATAAAATAAGCTCTTCGCTCATATATTTATATTTGGAAATACATATGTAAGCTATATAGCTGGCCAAACGGCAAGACCAAATTGACTGAAGTTTGAGGGAACCCATGGGTACCCCGGGGGTAACATAGGCTTTAAAAATCTATATTTTCTTTTTTTGAATTAAATTTCTTCCAAAATCTAAATTATTTTTCAAGTATTTTTTAATTCCACGGTTAACGCGGGCACTTCAGCTAGTTATATTACTAAATATTAAATAATATCAAATAAAAGTATAACAAGAAGTTAAATTTTAAAGTGCAATTCAAATATCTTAATTTGTCTAGGCCCTGGCAACGCACGTAGCTACTGAGCACAGTAAAAACGACCGTCTAGTGTGCGAGCACTGTAAGAAACGGTTCGTAGCAGGGGAGAAGAAACTTTTCACTGAGCACATTGAGACCCCGCACACACTAGAGTGTGAACAGTGTGAATGCACCTTCATCAAGGCGATCAAACTCAAGGAGCATGTGGAAGAAAAACATGGCCGCTCTAAGAGCTTTGAGGATAAGTACACATGTAAGCTATGTGGAACTATTTGCGCCAAAAGTAACGATTCTAAACTATCTCGAGAAGCTTTTAGTAAACACACGGCCATACCACACAAATTCCCTTGTAAAAGCTGTAACTTAAGGTTTCCTAACAAAACAAAGTTAGAGGCACACTTCCTAGAAAACCATGTAAACTCTACAGGGGTGAAGAATCAAGAATGTTCTATTTGTGGAACTCATTTCAACGATCCTAAAGTGTTAAAAGAGCACAAGAAGAGACCGCATAATTATCCATGCCGGAGTAGAAACTGCAAGAAAAGATTTATTTCTGAAAGTTCTTTGGAGAAACATCTGCAGAGGAAGCATAAAGAGTTTGCTGCTGCTAAACTGCAGGGGGGAAAGGTATCATTTTGCAGATTTTTAAATTGTTTATTTGTCTTCAATCATCAGCGCGAAAATTGGAATATTTTAGATTTTTATGCTAAATCCTACAAAAAAATTCTTTTTTCTAAATCTAGTGTAGAAGGCATTTTTATTATTCAAAACTAAAAGTTGAAAAATTTTGAGTCAGCATATGAGCAATTTATTTTTCCATAAATGTTGATTTTATAAAAGTTGGGTTCAGTCATTATAAAGTCAAGATTAACTGATTTAAAAAATCATGCGATGAGCTCTATATTTGGTTAGTCAGCTTAACTACTTCTAATTCATAAATTCCGACCTGACAACTGTTAATTAATATACCATTTAGCTTGTGTTTACCTGCAAGTATTGTGACCTGAACCTTGAGCATCATCTAGCTCTGCAGTCCCACCTTCATGTTAAACATGGTTACTCATGTCATGTTTGTGATAAACGGTTTGTAGAGCAGTCCAGGCTAGTGGGTCATCTTAGGTATACATTTATATATTTTAAAATACATTACATACATTACATACATTACATACATTACATACATTGCATACATTGCATACATTGCATACATTACATACATTACATACATTACATATGTAGGATTATTTAGTGGTAAAGGGAAAAAAGTGTTAAGTCATTTTAAAAAATTATCAGATTTTTATCAATTTTAAGGATTAAAGAATTCTAGAATGGATCTTTCGAGTGTTTAATGAGTTTAGAGGATATTGCAACCAACTACAACATTTTCCTGAGCCCCTCTGTAACATTGTCAGAACTGCTTAATTTATTTTCTTTGTATTTTAGGAGTAAGCACAACATCCAGAAGATCCCTGTTACGGGGTTCCTCTGTAGGCTCTGCAGCTCCCGGATAGAGAAGATGGTGGATATTCGTAAACACAGAGCTCTCACACATAGGTTAGCTCAACATTTAAAAGGAATGTTTATGATTTTTAAAAAGGATTTTTGACAAATTAATATTAATTTAAAAGTAGGAAGGTGATTTTATTTACAGTTTACAGACGTTTAGATATTCTGAACTATTATTGTAGGCAATTAAACTGCTTAATTGCCTACATTTGTAATTCAGAAACACTCCCCTAGCTTAGAATAAATATCAAATCCGAGCTGGGAACCTCTGTGTTGGGATACCTATAATTCCTATCGTTTGATGTCGATATCCATAGTGGGAACTGTTCTCTCATTGGTTTAACGTAAAATTCCTTTGCATCCGAGTGGCTGTTTTTTTTGCACTTCACGGGAAGTCGAATAAAGATTGAATTTATCTGCAGATTAACGAAAGATTGAGATCAAGCATTGATCCTGATATCCACAATACAAGAGTTCCCAACTCTGATCTATTTGTTATACAATGTTGATTCAGTTTATTAGTGAAGTGACATAAATCTTAGATATTTTTTTTTAATGATATTATTGTACAAACAGTATGAACTTTTACTGTTTTCCTAAAAAAAAATTATTGCAAAATTTTACATGATCTTAATGTTCTAAGGCCAAATTGGTCTTGGAACCCCTTAGTATGAAAATTATCTAAGAAGCAGAGTGGTGACTCTAATACTTTTTGGTTTGAATTTTGGTGACAAATATTCAGGGTTACCAACAGAAAATGAGAATTGAGAGACGACTGTAAAGAATTCATTCAGTCTTTTTTCTTTGATTCCTGGTACGAACTGTATTTAGGAAAAAAAACCATATGTAACCCTTAGGTTGTTACATTGAACGAGTTTCAGGTCGTCATTAAAGACTTATCCTCTGTGGGTGATCCTGCAGTACCATAAACATAAAAACAAATACAAAATACTTCTATAAATATATATTTTCAGGTTTATTTGTTCCTGCTGTATTCTTAGATTCATTACTAAACCTGAGCTAGACAAACACAAGGAATCTTGTCATTTCAATATAATCTGTAATCCATAAAATCGTTCTTTTTTGTCTCAAAAGAATGTTATAAAATTAAATTTTATGAACCATTCGGTCATTAGAAAGTTTTTCTAATCTCTAATATTAATTAACAGTGAAAAGGTTTCTTTAATTTGCGAGCTTTTTATTATTTCTATGATACTTTTCCTAACAAATCATTAAAAGTTCAGGTTTAGCGACAGATATTTTATGAATAAATCTTTAAGAGATTCGAAAAAGTTGAGAATTTTGTTTTTGATTAAATGGGAGAAAATAAATTCTGTTTCTTCTATTTTGCATGATCTTTACTTGAAATGACCTGTTTGTGATCCAGGAGGAAAAGCACCGGAACGCCCCATTTGTGGAGGCAGTGGGCGGGGAAGTCCAGGAGGAGGAACAGATGATGGAGAGAACAGCTGAAGAGGCTAGGCTAGGGGTCAACCTCATCCTGTGGGCGGAATCCAGGTATAAACTCAGTTTACAGTCTTTACACCAGTGCTTAGGATCCAAGGTGCAAAATTTCAACTAAAAACTGAAAAAACCTTTTCTACTCTCAAAACCTAAATCTTAATAGTTGAAAAAGGATAGATTATAAAAATTTCCTGATCTCTAAATGGTTCATCAAGTTTTAGCATAAAAATAAGCGAGAAAAAAAAATATTTTGACAGTTCTGCTTTGTTAAAAAAAAAAGACAGTAAATCTTAAAGATTCGCATCCAAAGTAAACACATCAACACAGACCTACCTTGTAAATTGGAATATGAGGTCGATATCTAAGCTTTAATTTATGTTTATTTCATGTTGTTATAAAGTAAATAATCTTCTGAGTACATTGAAAATAAACTTGTTGAGTGAAATGAGTCGGTGTAAACTGCAAAATTGTGTGTTTTATGTAAATTGGATTATTAAAAATTAGAACTAAAGTCAAAAAGTCGTCTTTCTTATCCATAGTTGTATTGGTCCCATTGTATCAAAATAACAATCATTTGTAAAAAAAGTTTTAATTGTTATCCCCTATGCAGTATTCATGATCAGATGAGAATTATAAATCGACTTGCGCATTTTTGCTTTGAAAGCAATGGAGGAATTTTCCAGAATTTAACACTTTTCCCGCTGCTATAATAATGGAATTTTTCACATTATTGATCAGATAAAGGTTTTGAAGGGTACTTGTAAATAGGACATTCCTATAGATTGGTAATATTAATAGGATGGTTCGTGAGCACCTGCATCGAGTGATGGCGGGTAAATCAGATAGTTTCCGGCACAAGATGTTTCTGGATAAGAAGGTTCGAGATCTAACTCTCAGGTAATATAATAATACACGATTCAACGACATAGGGTCAAATGCCATAGGGTCAAGTGACTTAGGGTAAAACAACAAACAGTCAAATAAGCGACAAAGGGTTAAACGACATGGGGTCAAAAAGTGATTGTTGACGTCATTTCAACTGGTCCTAGACATTAGCAGACATGTTGTGAATCAGACATGTCACTCTACTCTACTAATTACTTCTTCACTAGAAGGAATCATAACACAATTTAAAAATCCTAGCGTCAGAGAAGTTTATAATAAAGAACCAAAGATAAAGCTTTGGCTAAATTATTGTTTATTTTGTTTAGATCTGAGGATTCTGATTTATACAAGATGAGTAATCCTCGTTACAACTGTCTTCCTGTTGCAAATGATCAGGCTCTTATTGAAGTAATGCTCAAGGTAAGCTTTTATCCCCCCACCCTCTCCCTCAGGAAATTAATTTATTTAAAATGTATTTTGTCAAAAAAAATCAAACAATTTTTCCAATAATTCCCCGACTGTTAAAAAATCTCTGTATTATTTTTTCTTTTGATTTTGTTAAGTTCATTGTACGCACATTGTGTTCTCTTCTGATTTCAGTTTTACAAATGACAAAATACAAATTCCAGATTTTTTTTTATTAATTTAAGAAATAAAAATGTTCAAATCCGAAGATTTCCGTTAAAGTATAGAATTCAAAGAAGCTAAACCCCATTTTGGAAAGCTTATAAATCTTACGATCATTTGGACACACTCTTCAGCTTTTTTATGACAAAAAATTAGAGACACTCATGTTGGGACTATGGATTGACTCCATTTTTTTCTCAAGAATTTAAGATACAACTTCAATTTATTCAGAATTACCGGTACGACCTTTCGAGCTTGTGACTCATAAGTTTACATTGAACACAAATTACTAAATGAAATTTACTTTACTGTGATTTAGGTTTATAAACAAGGCCCCCAGGTCTCCTGTCCTGCCCCTGGCTATGAATACATTTTTTGTGTTCTAATACCGGAACTATGGATTCTCTATCTTATGCAGCTAAAGGTAAATAAGTTTTAAAATTTAATTGTGCTTTTTTTGGGCAATATTTTCTAAATATATTTTTATATTTAGAAGTTGAACCGCAGTGCTGCTGAAACTGAGTACAAGAAAGAAATGTCGCCGACTTCTGCCCAGTGAGTACTTAGAAAAAACTTTTCTTTTAAATTAAAAAAACTGTTTTAAACTCTAAATTTTGAACTAGACAAAAATTTATTTATAATTGATATTTTTGTAGAACTTCGTGGCTGGATTTCGACAAATTAATCTCTGAGTGGAGAAGGAAAAATGAAGGGAGCAGGATGAAATCCAGAGATCCGGAGATAGAAATTCTTGAAACCCATTCTTCAGCAGAGCGTAGATCTCATTTTACACCGGAAAAGGGTGAATATAACCTAACCCCAGAGAAGGCTCGGGATCCAAGGAGACGGGGCCAGGAAGGACGAAAAGACAGTTTTGGAGACCCAAGAGACAGGAATCTTTCCGGGAATGAAAACTTGTCCTCAAGACGTCTCTCTAGTGACATTGATTCAAGACAATCTTTAAACTTTGAGAAGACAGAAACTCCGACAAAAGAGATAAGTTTGACGGAAATAGATCGGGATCCAAGACGCCGTGGAGTACTTCAGCAAAAACAGGATCCTCAAAGGAGTTCTTTAGCTAACCCTGAACAAACTCAAACTAGTCAAAGAAGAAATAATAATGGTTCAAATGAAGAACTTAAAAATACTCATAATGCAGAAACAGACCACAGAAAAAATCTACATCAGGAAAAGGAACCTAGAGGTACGCTTCATCAGGATAGAGATCAAAGAGGTACTCCACATCAGGATAGAGATCAAAGAGGTACTCCACATCAGGATAGAGATCAAAGAGGTACTCCACATCAAGATAGAGATCAAAGAGGTACTCCACGTCAAGATAGAGATCCAAGAGGTACTTCACATCAGGATAGAGATCAAAGAGGTACTCCACATCAAGATAGAGATCTAAGAGGTACTCCACATCAAGATAGAGATCCAAGAGGTACTCCACATCAGGATAGAGATCAAAGAGTTACTCCACATCAAGATAGAGATCCAAGAGGTAATCCACATCAGGATAGAGATCCAAGAGGTACTCAATATCAGGATAGAGATCCAAGAGGTACTCCACATCAGGATAGAAATCCAAGAGGTACTTTACAGCAGGATAGAGATCCAAGAGGTACTTCACATCAGGATAGAGATCCAAGAGATACTCCACATCAAGATAGAGATTCAAGAGGTACTCCACATCAGGATAGAAATCCAAGAGGTACTCCACATCAGGATAGAGATCCAAGAGGTACTCCACATCAAGATAGAGATCCTAGAGGTACTCCACATCAGGATAGAGATCCAAGAGGTACTCCACATCAAGATAGAGATCCAAGAGGCACTCCACATTTTGATGGAGATTTAAGAGTTACTCCACATCAGGATAGAGATCCAAGAAAAACTTCTCATCAAGATAGAGATCCAAGAGGTACTCCACATCAGGATAGATATCCAAGAGGAACTCCTCAACAAGATAGAGATCCAAGAGGTACTCCACATCTTGAAAGGGATCAAAGAGGTACTCCACATCTTGATAAGGATCCTAGAAGTGCTTCACATTATAATAGGGATCCGATAAGCACCCTACAGCAGGATCCTACAAGTATTACTAACGAGGAAAGTGATCCCAGAAATAATGCCATAGATCATTCAGTAACTCCCCAACTTAATCCTGCCGAAAACATACAAAATCCTCAATCTTCTGAAGTATCAAGAAAGGATCCTAGAACTCTCTTTCCAGCCTTTCAATCTCAAGCCTTGGGAAGCCAATCAGACAAGACTAATTTTCAAGGAGATATCAGAGAACTTAGTGTTAATTATGCAAAGGAGAAAATTTCAGAAGACACTCCTGTAATTAATCCCACCTCAGTACCTGATGAGCCTGCAAACCCGGCTCTTCCAACCAACTTGTACTGGAACTTGCCTGATATTCTTGGTAACCCAGATTTACTTAAAGGAGGAATCCCTGGTTTAGAGGAAGCCATTTCTTCTGTTATTCCTGGCTTGGGAGCTCGAAACATTGCTGAAAGAAGACAAAGTTCTGCAGACGATGAGAAAGAAGAGAAAACAAAGAAAGACTACAATAATGGTAGAAATAAAGAGGGGAGTAAGCGGCACCGTGATCATAGGAGTAGAAGTCGAGAGCGTGCGCGGAGCTCAAGGAGTAGAAGCCGAGATAGAAAGCGTAGGTCAAGAAGTAGAAGTAGAGATCGGAAACGTGAGAAAAGAAGTAAAAGTGGGGATAGAAAACGTAATACAAGAAGCAGAAGCAGGGACAGACGTCGCAGGAGCAGAAGTAGAAGCCGTGATCGTCGTAGGAATGATCGTCGAAGCAAGGATGGTGCTAGAGACGATCGAAGACGCATCGAAAATAGCGAAGACAAGGACAGATCTTACAATGAGTTTAGGGAAAGAAATGCAAATAACGGTAGTAATGATTGGGTAAGGAACCAAGATTCAAACAGAGATGAAACCCGAGGGCGGCCTCAGATTTTAAACAATAAGTCTAGTCATGAGGGACATCATGATCAAATTCCATCGACTGAACATCAACGCAACTTCATACCTAAAGAAGATGCACCGTTCCGCAACCCTGACGGTCCCCCGCCCCTGATTGCCATGCCAAACATTAACATCCCGCCGCCTATTAACATCCCCCCGCCTATGACCCCCTTTCATCCCCGGCTCTCAGCCCCCCCGCCGCGAATAGTCCGACCACATCAAGATAACTTCCGGCCGCGTCAGGATAATTTTCGACCACAACAAGAGCATTTTCGACCTCGCCATAATTTCCGACCTCGGATGGATCAAAACTATCCACCCCGACACCCAGGACCCCGTTACTTTGGTCCAAGAGGGAACTTTCGAGGAGGTCCATTTCCGGGCAGAGGCAGGTTTTCCAGGTTTCCTCGTCATAGGTTTCCTGGACCAAGACCTAGGTTTCATCAACCTGAAGGTTATGATCAAGGGAACGAGGGATGGGAGAATGAACATGAAGATGATAATTATTATGGAGGGGAGCAACCTCCATATAATGAAGAAGTGAACTTCGCTGAGGACTAATGTTTAATCTTATCTAAAGAATCTGTAATTTTTAAAACAATTTGTTATGCACATTTCTAAACTGTTTATCATTATTATAAAAATATGTATCAGAATTATAGATACAAATTGAAAAATAAAGCTATGATAACTACTAATTGTATCATGGAGGGAAATCATTATTTTATTATTTTAATAATTTTATTAGTTCTTTTTTTATATTTTCAATATAATTTATTTTGTAAAACTAGGCTTTCAGGGCCCCTAATGTAACAATTTTTTCATTTAAAGGGAGTGACCGGCTATGTAAGGTAGTTGAACTGAATAGCAGTGTTGTGGAAAACTTCTTTAGGATTCATTTGAGACATATTAAACTTTTTAAAGATCTGTATATCCTGAGTTTGAGCGTAAATTCGACGTACAAAACTCCTACTTTGTGGGTGGCTACGTTTTCAGAATTAGTTTTTTTAAATTATTAAATAACGACGACATAAAATGTAAAAAAGTTCTACAATAAACTACTGTATTGGAACATGTTGAGAAAATAAAAATTAATCTTATCATCGAAAATAAGTAATATTGTTCAATTATTAGTTTCTATTTTCTCATTATTCACAAAGATTTTCGCAGATTTTCTAGAATTATTATTAAAAAGACGACATTTGAAGAATTTGAAGAAATTTGCGAATAAATTCAAAGAAAATGAGAAATTCAATATAATAATGAAAACGAAATAATCGATTTTATATCTGATTTATTGACAAATTTCTTTTGAGAAATATGTTGCCAACTATCTAATAAAATTACTGAATAATTTTTACTTTATTTTTTGTTGTCGTCGAATTTGCGCTCAAAATCAGGATTTACAGATCTTTAAAAAGTTTATTATGTCTCAAATGAATCCGGAATAAGTTTCCCACAACACTACATACTCAGTTCAACTACCTTACATAGCCGGTCAATCCCTTTAAATGTTGATTTTCAAGTCGCCATTTTCATCTAACTCAAATGAACAGAAAATGTTGCCGATTTTTCTGTTCAGATTAATGGATTTTCCTTAATAGTATTAGTATCTCCTATTTTGGCCTGCCATAGTGCTTCCCTGTGTAATTATGAGTTGGCACAAAAATTCTGGGCCCAAACAGTTCCGTCGTTTATCGGATGCAAAGAAAAACAAGCAAAAAATATATATACTAGGCTATCAGGGCGCTTCGCACTCATCTTCTAGTTCAACTTTAACTGTAGCTTAATCTTTCAGTGTTTTCTCATTGATAAAACAATAATTAAAAATTTACAATTTTTTTCGTGGATTTTAAAAAGTGTACAAATTCAAACATTTTTGGTGACAACCTTTTGTTATTCTGAGCATCCAAGCCTTCCCAAGGGTCATGTGAGGTCCCAGACAAAATTACGGCCCAATCGGTTTAGCCGTTTTGACGTTTTTTTGGATACAAGAGACAGACTGACTAGATTGACAAGCTTAGCATGTACTAATATAGATAATAATGAAGCTGAAAGAAAAAAAATGAAAAAAAATTTAGGGGTACGAAGGGTTATGGTTGACCGAGTTAACAAAGGCTGCAGACAAAATTTAAAGCGACTCTCCATATATAAAACTAGGGGTTTTCGCGCCCTCTTTCCTGTAAATGATTCAAGCTTTTAAACGTTGCTCTGAAAGCCGGATATTTTAAATGGTTTTCAAACTCGGGTGGATTTTTCTTGTTGAATTAGCGTATTTTCAGAAACTATTAATATAAAAGTATATACATATGGCTGCATGTTCGATACATGACGGTTACGCTGTGCAAGATTGATAAATTTTGTAGTTTTTTCTGTCTAAAATAAATTATTTTCCAATCCAGCTTATGAAGAACATTGACTGGCGCGTTTTTGCCAAAGTGCATAAATAAGTATTTACAGAGGCGCAACTAGGGAGGGGGGCCCCCCACCTGCAGGATAAAAAGAAAGATTGGCGAATATCAGTATCACGAGTATCACAGGAATAAGTAAACTAATAGAATTAGAGTTATTGTAGAAATCATATTAGTTAGTTTAAAAAAATATATTTTCATCTTTCTCAAGCTTTCTATAAGGTTTAACATCGGTATGTTTAAGGATCTACTCGATATAAATATATATATTAACACTTAACTTTATACTTTTGCACTTAAACTCTTGACAAAATGAATTAAGTAAAAATAAACTGATTCAAGAATGGTTTGAAAATATATTTGCATTTATCCAGAATAAAAAGTTTTTTCAAAAATTAAACTTGTCAGTCTGTGATGTTGAGTGTACTGTATAATCTAAAAAAAAGACAGACCATAATTTACTAACTTATGTTGGCGAAAAATTAATAGCCTAGAAAACAAATACAAATTCGTTCATAAAGCAGTTAAAACGCAAATAGACTGGTCTTACCTCCTCAAACTAAATGTATAAAAATTACAAGTAATATTCTTTTTTCGCCCAAATTACTTCGTTAAAATTGTCTACACTTGGAAACGAAAAATTAAAAAAATCATTTATTTGGAAAAAACGAGATACAAATGAAACAATTCATACATACATGAGAAAATGTATTATACACAAAGTTTAAAATATCTGTTGTTCTCACTGGTATCTAAAATCTTGACATTGTAATCGCAGGAAATCATAAAAAGTAAAAGATTCTTCATTAGGTCAGGTCCGACATTTTGTTTCTGTCAGCTGATTACTTGGCACCGAATGCGGCCATTTTGTTGTTGATTGGTGCTTTCATAAACCTAGATAAAAGAAGATATTTAAACACGACTAAGGAATATACCAGTAAATCATATTGCTTTGTTTACAAATTGAGTGTACAGCAGTTTCTGTTAGGAATGTATACACCCGTTAAACTGAAAAACACTTTTTTAAAAAAAAAAAGCTATGCGAGTTACTTCCATTATTTTCCTCAATCCTCGATCACGACCAGGAAAAAGGAATATTGAACTGCAATATTCCAAAACTTAATTGAAATTTCTTTAACTTGTATTACTATGTACTGTGTCATGCAGGGTAAATCACTCCTGGCCAAAATTTGAAAAATTCAAGCTATCAGGCGAGGATACAGGGGTGAGCCAGGGAGCGGCCGCTCACCCCTGGAAGATTGCTCAACCCTGAGGCTGAAGTTTAAGAGCATGAGCTAAGGAAACTAGAGAGAAAATTCTGAAGTTAAAGTAACATGAGTATTGTGATTGTAATGGGAAACTAATGTTTTTTTTTCATATTCATTCTTACTTATTATAAAGGCATGTTGATTGGAAATTTTGTTGCGAGTGAAAAATACTAAAATTTTCTTTTATTTATGACGACTTGGAACTCTTTAATACAATTGATAAAGGTTAATTCGATGAATTTCACAAAAAAAATTTTACGTCGTCTCTGTAGTTTCATCCTTCGTAGTCCCCTACACACTGTAGCGAAAGTAAAGAATGCAAAAATGGAATTTTACCTAATTTTCTAGTGTAAACCGTAGTATCAAATCTTGTCATTTTTGTGCAATATGAGGTCAAATTCAAGGTTTTTATACTCTCTAATATTTCCCCTGCTCCCCCGGCTCTAGGAGTGAGAAAGATTTTTTTTATTCTTTTTTAATCCTGCATGATAACACAAGACAGTCGCATAAAAAGATTTTGTCACACCACGCGCAAAATATTTCTCTCACTCCTAATTTCACTGACATAGGGTCAAACAACTTAGGGTCAAGCGACATAGGGTCAAACGACAAACAGTAAAAAACCCAACAAAGGGTAAAACGACAAAGGGTCACAATGGAAAAAATATCTTATGTATTATTTCAGGGTTAGGTTAGGACATTTCTAGGCTGAGCAATGCGGCTAGGACAGGCTAGGGGGTCGAGCGCTGCGGCTACTAGTTCTAATGACCGTAAAAATAGTTCAAATTAGTCAAAATCAAATTTTGCTCGTTAGTGGCACTTTATGACCCTATGTCGTTTTAACCTTTGTCATTTTACAGTTTGTCGTTTGACCCTAGGTCGTTTGACCCTGGGTCGTTTGACCCTAGGTCGTTTGACCCTATGTCAATAAATTCCTGTATCCGCCCCTGTAAACAATTTTTGAAAAATCAAAGGTGCTTATATCTAAAAAAAATCAAATAATAATTTACACTAGGTGTTTTCTCACTTGAAGTTACTCTGGTTCCTAAATTAAATTTTACATAAAAGCTCACTTTTTTGGCAAGTCTTTCCCTGGTCTACATTAAATTTCGGCAGTTTGAAATTTGAATTATTTTTTTGAAAAACGTACGCTTGCTGTAGCAGGGCAGGTGTAGGCCGGGGGGGGGGGGTGTTATGTTAACAAAATATACCTATCTGACTGCATGTACTTCTCTATGGCTGGCAGCTTCTCAAACCTTGTGCAGTACATCTCCAGGTTCGGGTACTCCTGTACATATAAAGTAAGTTGAACGCCTTTGTAAAAAGGAGGAATTCCGACTTTCGAAACTTTAGGAATGCTTGAAAATTGAAAAATGATTCCAACCTGGAAGTCAATATAACTCTTTTGGCCCTTAATCCCAATTTTCTCCACAAAATTATTCTTTTATCACGAAAAAACTTAGTCCCCAGCGAATTAAAACCGGTTTTTCTTTCTTGCAAACTTAGGGAAAAAACGTGTTTAAAAAATACCAAACAGTTTCAGATAATGTAGACTTCATAGGAGCAAGCGATTTAAAGAAACAGCGAATTTTTCTCACCTTGAGACAATCGGGTTTGAGCATCTTGTGCTGGGTGAGCATCTCGTAGAGGTGGAAGTCCGGGTAGGTGATCTGCTCTCCAACCAACCAGCTCTTAGTTCCGAGGAACGTGGAGAAAGCCTGGAGCTGTCCCTTTAATCCCTCAAGGTACGCATCCTTCATCGATTCCTGAAAAAAAATAAAACTGATTGAAAAATAACAATTATTGAAATAAAATTTCATGCAGGATTCAGAGATAAAGAGTAAGACCTTTTAAATGTAATTGATGTCCAACTGCAGGCAGATATGTTAGATACAAGTGAAAGGGGGAAATGGATGATTTGATATTTTTTTTTTCTCTGACAGAAGTTTTTTGAACTTACAAAGTTAGGATTGTAGCAGAGTCTGACCCAACCGTTTCTGAGATCCATAATTTGATCAGCACACATATCAGCTTCAGCCTTAACAACAGTTTTATCAGATAATGCTGTTTTCATTTCAAGTGACTCTTTTATCTAAATCACAACCGCACTCTTTAAAGGGAGTGACCGGCTATGTAAGGTAGTTGAACTGAGTATGCAGTGTTGTGGAAAACTTCTTTCGGATTCATTTGAGAAATATTAAACTTTTTAAAGATCTGTAAATCCTGAGTTTGAGCGAAAATTCGACGGTCAATACTCCTACTTCGGGGGTAGATACGTTTTCAGAATTAGTTTTTTTAAATTATTAAATAACGACAACGTATTACAAAATCAAATAAACCTATTTCACCTTTTCCTTTAAAGTTGTTCCGTCCAGGTTGTTTTTACGAGCAATATGTTTTAGAATAACGTTGGACTGGGTCAAGCTCACATCTTCATCCTAGATAATCGGATCTAAAGACAAGTTTTCTGAAAATCCCAAAAAATTCCAATTCAGAAATTAACTTCAAAATTTTTCAAGCTTTGGAACAAGACATTTTATGGAATTCTTTTAGAACACAACTTTCTAGTTTTATTTTTGCTCTAGATTTAGCCAAATCATATCAAATTTGATATTAACAAATATAGATTCCTAGCCACAGAATTGAAAAAAATAATGCTTAATGAATTGGGTCAAATTCAAAATTCAAAAATAAATTTTTTGTTTGTTTGACCTTGTAGTAAGGAAGGTTAGGGAAGTCTAGACCAAGACTGTGTTTAGAATCAAACCAACCGGACCTAGATAATATTTATTAATCTTTCTTTTTATTTGATTTACTCACTAATTTATCTAATACATCTAATGTTAATACCTGGTAAACAAACTTTAAAAAAAATATTTATTTATAAAAATGTTTTTTAATACTCAGAAAGTTAAGAAGAAATTGACATTAAAAGCCAATTTATTTACCCTTTTTTGATATTTTCCCCATAAATTTTTGTAAAGAATTATTCATCAAAAAAATGATGATAAATATAAAATCTTAAGAATATCTGAATTATCTATTTTCAGAAATGTTTTGGCCTCTAAAATTTTCATATATTTAAAATGTATCGATGAAGTGTCTAATCTAATGTCTATTTATAAAATGTTAAATTTCATTGTCTAAATCTATGAAATATATAGTTTTTATCTCTATAAAATGTTTAATACTTCTATATAGATGAAGTGTCTAATGTTTATATTTATAAAATGTTAAATGTAATTGTATATATCTATAAAATATATAGTTTTTAAATTTATGAAATGTTTAATATTTCTGCTAAATTCTTACAAAAGTTTGAGAATAAATGAGTTATATGAATTAAAATATTTTTTGATCGAATAATTTCCGTTGGTGTGGTACTATCTTTATTGAAATTATAATTAATGATTTACAATTTGATTGCACACAGTTAACAAAAGAATACTATTTATTATATATCTGTAAAATGTATATATCTATAAAAGTCCTAACCTAAAAAGTGTTGTCTATGAAATGTCACGTTAAAAAATGACTCCTTACAAAACAATTGTTGTATATCTATTATATAAACAAGTAATTCTGTTTGTTTGATCATTAAATCTCGAACCACTGAACCGATTAGACTTAAAATTTAAATTAGGGAACTTGTAAGAACCACAGGAATGTTCTTAGCGTGGTTTAAATTTTCTAAGTAGAGTGTGTTGACTTTTATAATGAAAGTTTCCTGGCATAGCTGGATTACCAAGCTAGTACACATTTATACAAATATTGTGATATACCAAAAATATAGAAATATTAATATTTTTCATTACATACTTGTCAAAGTCCGGTGCAGGACCACAGGCCATCATTTTATCCTCGAACTCAGTATTAGTGTACTCAAGTAGAAACCTGATGGGCTGGGCCAACTAAATTAAACAAACTATCATGCAGGGTCAAATTGTATTTTGGTATATTCCTAGAGAACGCTTTTTGGATACCCCCCAGGCCCCCCCCCTCATATCAATTTTGTACATGGATCAATTATGTTAGACATGGATATGATTGACCATGTGGCCGAAGCGCTCGGCCCCCTAGCCTGTCCTAGCCACAGCGCTCGGCCCAGAAAGTGTCTTAACTAACCTAACCCGTCGCCGCAGCGCTCGGCCCCCTAGCCTGTCCTAGCCGCAGCGCTCGGCCCAGATAGTGTCTTAACCTAACCATAACCCTAAATAATAATAAATAAATACTAATTCACTAATTTCGTCATGTACAAAATTGATATGAGGGGGGAGCCTGGGGGGGGGGGGCCAAAAATCGTTCACTAGGACAGACCCGGAATTTTCAGGCTCAAAAGCACTCAATTTCAATTTAAAGATCTCAAACTGTTATATTGTTTCAAACTAACTGTCTGAAAAACTACCGGCTTTTAAAAGTTTGTAGCTTCAGAAATCAGGGGAAATTATTTATTAAAATAATCTTTAACTTTCTTTTGTTCATGGTAGTTTCAATAAAATACAAGGGCCGAGCACACTGTACACTGCACAGGAATCATTTAAACCGATTATGTTTATGCTACGAAGGCGAAGAGGTCGGCTAAATAATTGAGGACTTTTAATGTTCGACATCGGCATGTCATAGGCTAAAGGTTTGCAGGGACTCCAGGGACAGGACTTAGAACCATAATAAAGTAATAATGAGACAAAACATATTAGTTTTGATCAAACTGACTTACCCCTCTGATATCCCAATAACATAAAACTGCAGGAGCCATGTTTACTGTAGAAGACAAGAGCAAAAACTAAAAAGTGACAAAGACTTTAGAAAAAAAGGTAACGCTTGTTAGAGTTAGACTGAACAGCTTACAAGTGTGTGTTGTGCTTGTGGCGGTATGTACGTACTCTTTAACCCTTAATTAAAATATTGAACGCGGCAAATTTTACGGCTACCTTTTAGGAAGGATATTATGAAGAAAATAATTGCTGACTATTTAGATAGATTATGAGGGGGGGGGGCACGCTGGCGTGTGCCCCCCTCATAAGTAGTGTAGGTGATTAATTGAATACAATGAAAACAACTTTTAACATTAAAGTTTTGATTGTTAACCTTACAGTTGAACTTTCTCTAATCTTTAACGCCAAAATACGCATATAATACTAGCAAAATCTAGCATTTTCTGCAAAAAAAATTTCTATTAGCCAAATTAAATTTTTCAAAATGATTTATTCTTCTTAAATTTTCTGATTTGTCCCTCAAATCGTAATTTAGACCCATTGACGAGGTCTAATTTGATGTGGGACACTCTGTAGCCTTTTTTCGAATTACAAGTTCACAACTTACAAGTAATCAAATGTAAGTTTTTTTAATTGACAGGTTTACTTGACCTTTATGTTTTTGTGTATGCTGTTTAACAGTTTGATATATAATCAAAAGCTAAAAAGCAATTCATCGTGAAGTAAGTTGTAATTTGAATGCTTTATGTTTTCAAGTTTTCCATTTCTATCTTTGATTACACTTGCTATAAAACACCCCTTTATTTTACCTTTCAAAATGGTAATTATTGATGCTACATATCGTCCATACGCAACATCCCCCCTACTGAACTTCTGACCTACTAACTTTCCTACCTACGCCAGCTACTTATTTTTGTATTATTTTAGGGTTAGGCTAGATTAAGACGATTTCTGGGCCGAGCGCCGAGGCTAGGACAGGCTATGGGGCCGGGAGCTGCGGCCAGAAGTTCATATACAGGGTGTCCCACGAAACATGACAATAGGAAGACGACTTGAAAGTCGTCTTTGGTATTTGAATTTATTTGTGACATTTAGTCTTCTATCTACTTTAACATGCATGATTCTGGAAACAATTATCACATAATTCTCCTAGCCCTGGCATTTCCAAAAAGTGGTCTGCGTTTTTTGTGCTTTCAATATTACCGGAGATATATAGAGTTTGGTTCAGATTTCAATTTTCTTAAATAAAAGCAAAATTGTCGAAATCTGAACGAAATTCTTCATATCTCTGGCAATATTGAAAGCACAAAAAAGGCAGACCACATTTTGGAAATGGCAGGACAAGGGAAATTTTGATTATTATCTCTAGAAATTTACTTCTAAAATTAAGTTGACAAATAAACGCAGCAAATTATATCAAAAATCAAGACGACATTCAAGTCGTCCTGCATACTGTCATGTTTCGTGGACACCCTGTAGCAGCTGTAAAACCACGTGTTAGTCGTTCGGATGCGTAGTATAGCGGATTTGCGAAGGTCGAAAAATACACCATCTACAATGTCGAAAACTGCAAGGAGGAAAAATCAATTGAAGAATTTAGTTTGTAGTGCCGTAGAAATCAAACGTTACTAGAAAGTTGTTTTCATTATTGTTTTGATAAAAATGATGTCCAGTTTTTTGTTAAAGAAACTTTATTGAAATTATAATTAATGATTTACAATTTGATTGCACACAGTTAACAAAAGAATACTATTTATCCGTGAAGCACTTATACATGCATCAAAATATTTTAAAGATCTGCCTGTGTTCGGCTTACATGTGTTTTTAAATTCCGATAAGGTTTCCATTAATTTTTACATAAAAACTAAAATGTTCAGAAAATATACATAATAAGAACACATTTTGTAAAAAACAAGATAGGCTGATAGCACCATTGATTTTAGGCCAATTTCTAAACTGACAATAAATTCATTAAAATAATTAAATTTGCTTTGATTAAAGTTTCTAAAATGGCACAATCTGAAAAATATACTATTTAATGTACATTAATAATATTAATATTCTTTAAATAAGATTCATAAATATTGTAGATTTTACAATGTAAGTTATAAATTTTGCATTAGATAAATGTTTTTCTACAGGTCCTAAACAATCATGGTATAATGTGTTAAATTTCTTCATTTCCTTAATTTTTAATTAATTATAAACTTCTGTTTTAGTGGTTTATATGTTAAATTTCAGAAGTTAATAGGATTGTGAGATTTCAGAATTAAAGAGACTGATGTTGGAATTTCAAGTGACCCTTTATTTAAAGAAGGACTTCCCGATTCACAAAGGTACCCGTAAAACCTTAATCTGATCAATAAAAAGTGTTTAGTTCTGACAATTAAACTAATTGTTTCTTTAAGTAGAAACCTAAAAGTCACTTAATCAAAGAGAAAAACTAGAAACCTGCAGATCTCGTTCATTCTTGACCAGGCCAAGCTTTTAGGGGGTTACTTTACAGTCCTTTAAAAATATCAGGTTAAACAAAACAGGGTTCCCTTTTCCGAAAAAATAGGTAACTAACATAAAAAACATTTGTAACAATGTAAGAGTTAACGGTTATTTTCTCTGTTTAAAAAACCCGAATACGCCCCCGGTCGATAAACAGGAGGTCGTCGTCAATGATCAGAAGACCAACCAGAGCAAAGAACAACGCTGTGCCCGAGAAGAAGTGCCAAAGGTCGTGGTTGTCGTAGAAGTTCATCAAGTTGCACAACTCGTTCTTGTTCCTACCATTTAATGTAAATTAATTCACAAAAGATTTAAATGCCAATTTAAAAGTAACTCTTTCCAATTTCAGATCATCACAGGCAACTTGATTTATTATGATATATAAAAAGAAAAACAGCGCCAAGCAATTCAGAGCTTGAAATGAACCAAACACATTTTCCCGTGATTTAACCTAACATAAATCTCATTCCCAGGGTTAAAAGTTTCTAGTTAAAAAGTTAATAAGTTATACCTGGATTCAGGTGGAGTACTATTCCTACTCTGATGCTTCATGTAGTAGAATACACCAGCAATAACACCAATCACCAGAGCTAACATATATTAAATATAGTAGAATACACCAGCAATAACTCTAATCACCAAAGCTAGCAAATATAGTAGAATACACCAGCAATAACTTCAATCACCAGAGCTAACATATATTAAATATAGTAGTATACACCAGCAATAACTCCAATCACCAGAGCTAACATATATTTATGTTTATAGATTACACATTTCGAAAAATGTAACTCCAATCACCAGAGCTAACATATATTAAATATAGTAGAATACACCAGCAATAACTCCAATCACCAAAGCTAGCAAATATAAATACACATACAGAGATATAAATATTAAATATATATTCAAGATGTGTAGAAATTAGCAATTTTATATGCAAGTTTATAAAGATTACTCTTGGTCCTCTTGCGAAATTGATTTTTTTAAAAGAAAAATATGTACACTTGCCAAATATTTCCATCTTACAATATTACATAATATGTATTGTCAGTAATCAATAATGTAGATTAATATTGCTAAAAAATTAACCTGTATCAAAATGATTAAAATACCAAAGTTCCTATACCTGTAAGGAAGAAAATGAAACTTAAACCTCGCATGAATTTCTACATAATTATTCAGATCAAAATTCAGATAATCTATGTAATAAAGGTCTTCGCTCATTTATATATACTTATATGTTAGCTATTGCTGGCCAAATGGCTGGATAAAAGTGGCTGACAATTTATGTTTAATTTTTTTAATTTCACGGGCAACGCCGTCACTTAAGCTAGTTATAATAATATCATGCTTTTGAATTTGATTGGAGATGTTCTGCTAAATTCTTACAAAAGTTTGAGAATAAATGAGTTATATGAATTAAAATATTTTTTGATCGAATAATTTCCGTTGGTGTGGTACTATCTTGCTCCAACTCTTCATCATAGCAGATTTCCTGATAACACCATGCATCAAATATTCTATACTGCAAAGTGACTCTAAATATGCCTGATTCACAGCGGTACCCTTCGTCTCAGCAAGAATGGTGGAGGTATCCTTTTCTATGAAAATTAACAACTTCCTACTGCGGGTTTTCTAAAAAATTATTTGCGGAGTTTTGCAGCAGATAAGGAATGAAATTTACGCAATTTAAAAATCAGGCATCAAACGCTTTAAATGCGTCAAGACCCCAGCACTGCAGGGAAGTATAATCTTACAGTAAGTTTAATTCCCCCCCCTTCCTGTTATTATTGTCCAGAATTTCCTTTCTTTTTGGCTTTCCATATTTTAAATAATTTTGCATTACTTATTGATTTGATTGCTATCTTTAATAAACAGTCATTTAGTAGTTTTTGCCACATTTTTCTACTCACTTACAGCCTGTCTATAAGTCCAAGCAGTGTATGCCTGCTGCGCTAAAGTAAAGGTTTTAGAAGATTCTTCTAATTCTCTTCCGTTGGAACTTAAAATATAATTGGGAAATAAGACTCAGTTCTCAATATAAAGGAAATACAGGAAACTTTTCTAAACTATCTGATACCTCTTCCCCATATAGGCAATGTGGGAAACTTTATAATATTTTTTGGGGAAATCATGCTTTTTTCTCTCCCCATAAGCAACTGGGGAAAGTAATAATATCACAATTCAGAAATAAAGGGAAAGAAATATCTTTAGAATTTTCTTTCCCAGACTCAATGAGTTTATCCAGTAATATTATGTTTCTTCATCTTTCAATATACTTTTTCTTCCCTTTCCTCCCTTATTTTTTCTATTTTCTTCCTTTTTTCTTTTTTTTTCTTTCTCCTTCCGCTTTATTCTTCGTTTTTTAGATTTTTTAAAAAGTTGATTGATGAATGGTTTCCTGTAGTTTGTTTACAAAATAGTAAACCAGGTACATTCCAACATTTGCACCACCAATGAATAGAAGAGGAGTGGATAAACTACGTCCAGGATCCTAGGACAAAAAGCTGGGTGAGGAAAAATTAAGGAACAGAATTATAGCTCGTCGTTTTTGTTCAAACTAGAAATTCAAGGCGCTTCGCGCCCTTCTTTCTAGCCTTAGAGGGCGCTTCGCGCCCATCTTCTAAATTAGTTGTGAACATGTTCTCATTGTGTACATCGTAAAACAAAACAAAAATAATTCGCGGATTTTTACAAAAAATTTCGTGGATTTTCAAAATTTTTAAAAATTTAATGACGATCGAATTTTGATAGAGACAAATATTTGAAATTTTGATTTTTCATAAACCTTCCCTGGGGTCCCTAGATGTCCCACAAAAAATTTGGGCCCGATCGGTTCAGCCGTTTTGACGTTTATTGGATACAAACAGACAAACAAACAAACAAACAGACAAGCCAAATTTATATATAGAAGTTGAGGGAAAGGACAAATGTAAGTTTCTGATACAAGCATAGGTTACAGGAAGAAAAAGGGAAGGTTTCAGGCTCAAGCTTAGTTTGGAGGAAGGAGAAGGAAGGAGAAAGAAGGAGAAATAAGAAAAAAATGGAATAATGAGGAAAATGAAGGAGAAGAAAAAAAAGGAAGATGAAGGGTAAGGAGGGAGGAGAAAGGGGAATAAGAAGAAGGAAAGAGATTGAACGAGAAGGAAGCAAAAGGTACGAGATGGAAGGAAAATGAATAAGGAAGGGAAAACAAGGAGAAGAAAGGAGAAGAAGGAGAAGAAGGAGAAGAGTGAAACGAGAAAAAAGGAGAAAGAAGAAAAAAGAACAATAAAGGAGAAGGAAAGCTAAGGAAGAAGAAGGAAGGAGAAGGAAGGAGAAAGAAGAAGAAAGCAAAAGAAAAAAATGAAAAAGAAAAAGAAGTAAGGTGAAGGAGAAGGAAGGAGGAAAAGGGGAAGGAAGAATCACCTGTGATGCTCTGTAAACAATGAAGCTGAGAAGAAAGGTATTGATAAGGAAAAAGACGGAGGTTAGAATAAACTTCTTCGTATTCAAACATTCCTCCTGAACAATTGTAAAGGAACTGATTATATTCGCCTCGCCTGATGTTGTAAACCTTTACTATTTTAAACTATAAACTCTGCTAAACCAAAAAGTCTAAGTTTAAACCATCTAGAGTTTAACCATCAGTTCCAATACCAATAATGAAATATGATTTGTAAATTAAAGGGGACAATCATTAAAAAAATATGACATTTTCTTTCTTTTTATTTCCTGACGTTACTCACCTTGTATCTTAAAGCATGCTTTACCATCACTGGGACCATCTAATAAAGAGTGAATGTTATTACAATAATATTAGTGCGCACTAATCGAACAAAATGAAAATGACAATTTGCGCTTTGTTCAACGAAATTAAAAATATAAATTATTTAAAAACGTTTAACATTCTGATCTTGTGCCTTTCTGATACTAGTTTTAACTGCTCCATAGTAATATATATCCACACCCATATGTACCATCAGCAGTACATAACAGAATACAAACAGTACATACAGAACTAATCTAAACAATTCAAAATTAAGTTAAAGGAACTGTAGACGTAATCATAAAGAGTGGCATGGTACCCTTTAAACGCTTGTCTGAACAATAATGATTAAGCCATCTTTTTTTTCTAAATTGTTTTACTTTCTGAGCTTGGAACTTTAGAATTGGATATCCTTAATCCTGATCGGTTAATTAATCTGAAGATCAATTAAAAAGGAGAACAAGCATTATTTAATCTCGAGATTAAGAAAAAGAGGAGATCAAGCATTAATCTGGATATCCACCATTCAAAAGTTCCCAGCTCTGGTTCTTTATTTCAGTGACTTGCGGATTTATGCAGCAGAGAAAAACTAGGAAATTGAGTGAGTTTATCTCTTCTATAAAAACCACGAAAACTGTCTCATAGTTAATCAGGGAAAGAGAACTGCGTCGTGCATCGGGCATGTAACACATTGAATTTAAAGTTTCTTCAAATCAAGGAAACAGTCTCTTTGATACAATAAGAAACAGATACAGTGAGAACCAGAAAACTCTGGAACATGAAGACGACTTTTAGACTTAAGTTAGAACATTAAATAGTCCAATAAGCATGAGACAAAGCAATTGTTCAGAGTAAACAGAGCCATTTTACTTATTTATTCATTTAAGTGAAATGGGTCTGAAATTATTCATGTGTCTAGTAAAACTGTTTGCTTTGTAACAACTTCAAATACACTTAAGTATTGTCATAAAGTCGTCTTCCCATTTCAGAGTTTTCTGGTTATCACTGTATAATTCAGCTAAATTCTTAATTATCCTCAAGGGCCTCTGATATAAAAATATCCACTTAAAACATTAAAATGACAAAATTTAGTTGAATAATGGAAAATTCAAACCTCCAAGCAGTATTGAAGACATACAAGGATACAGCCTCAAACACAAGAACAACAGCAAACACATACATCACGTGGAACGCATTGTAGGCTGTGTCAGCGTGGCGTAGTTGGAAGATCTTGATAAACACAAGGATCATCATCATGTTCATCATGGTAGTGTCGAACTGCAAGGAGATGTTGGAAGGACAGATATGGAAGATTGCACTGAAGAGCCCCTGCAAAAAGGAAGTTCATAGTTCGTTTAAAAATCTTAGATGAAAATTATTGTACTGTTGCTTCCAGGATCTTTTGTACTGTTGCTTCCAGGATCTTTTGTACTGTTGCTTCCAGGATCTTTTGTACTGTTGCTTCCAGGATCTTTTATCGTCCGAAGAGTTAAATCAATTTCTCTTGGATAATATCCTGTGGTCTAAACCCAGCAGGGATAACTAAAATTTTAAGGATCAAGCACTTAATCCTGAAATTTAATAGTTGCCACATGGGATATAAAGATCAAGCGTTGTAGATTAGCGCTTTTTTAGACAAAAGTTTTAACCTCTGGATGGTAAGTACTTTTTTGTAGTCCAAGACAAGTGCATTTTAGAATTAAAAAGTGTTTTATAGTTTTTATAGCAAAATATTTATCGGTTTTATTGTGAGAGCTAGCTTGCACTCTGAGAAATGTTAAATTTCATCTGACAAGATTTGTCGGAGCACCGGAGCTAAATTCAATATTCAATATTCGTCAAATTTAGTGGAATGTTTATCATGTACACTGTACACTGTACAGGGTTACCTACAAAGGATGAGAATATCCCCCGTTTAAATTAAGACTGTGGTCCTTAATTGGCTTCTTTCATGATTTGGCAAAAATAAAGTTGCAAGGAATCATAAATATAAGAAAACAGACAGTATACGAAGTATCATCCGTTGTGACTACTAATTTGAATTAGGATTTAGGCTCCGGTGTTCCAACAAATTTTGTTAGATGAAAAGTTGACATTTCTTAGAATATGCAACCTTTGTAAATTGTATGAGTGTGAGTGTGGATCACTACCTGTAGTATCAAACAGATCCCCATAGTGTAGAACAAACTGTGCTGTTGCAGGGGACCAGTACTGTTGGCAGAATGATCCTAAATTTGTATTCTATTTATTTTATAATTTAATTTTTGTACACTTTGAAGAAGATTGTGTTATTGCTCCCTTTGATTAATTTTTATGCAATGTTGACAAAAACAAGTAGAAATAATATTTTGGGTTAAAAGACTCGTTTTTGTTAAATGAAAAGGAGAAAAGAATTCTAAAAATTGCCAATCATTCAGAACTGATTTTTTGTTATGTTTACTTTTTCATTCGAACTTTAAAAAAAATATTTTTTTTACCTCGTGGGTTTTGTGCCCTTCTGGAAGAAGTTTTGATTTAATAAAAACAAGAATAATAAAGATGATTCCATAAATCCAGTAACCTAGAATTAAACAGATTAGAAATCATATCTTCAGACATTAGGGTTTTTGTTCTTAAAAATCACCCCACCCCCCTCTTTTTTGGAAAATATCCCCCCACCCCCCCGATGTNTAGTTTTTGCTTTTACTTTTGCTTTTGCGTTTGCATTTGCGTTTGCTATTGCTATTGCTATTGCTATTGCTATTGCTATTGCTATTGCTATTGCTATTGCTATTGCTATTGGTAAACCCGGGTGCAGGGATCATACCCGGTCATAATAAAGCTGTTCGCTTATGAAATATATCGAAAGTTTTTATTGAAGCAGTTTAAACTCTCAACCACAAGGGAATAGTTTCAGTTATATATATTTGCTTATATTTATTTGTATATATTTAAAATATTTTTTTAAAATTCGTTTTTCTTTTATTTCACGGGCAACGCCCGGCACTTCAGCTAGTGTCTAGTAAGTGTCTAAGTCTTGATTAAGATATTTTACCTATGCCAAGGGTTCTCACTAAGCTTGAGTAGATCTACTAGACGAAGATCCTTCTCTGCTATCCTGTCGATAGCATGCTGGAGATGCTCACTCTACAACAAACAAGAGAAAAATAACACACAGACTTTAATAAAAACCTGAATCAATCTAAATTAAACAATTTAAAGGGACTGTATGCTATCACTACTTCATGGCATGATAAAGATGTTTACTCTTCAATAGACAAAACAAGAGAAAAATAAGACTTTACAACAGAACAGAGACTGAGATTTTAATGTTAACTTAAAGCTGTCTAAACTAATTTTCTCACTCTGTGATAGACTTTGCAACAGATTTATTCACAAAGAATGAGATTTTGATGACGACATTTAACTATATAAATCAGACGATGTAAAGGCCTTTCAGACATTTTTAAATCAAATAATTTGACAAAGAAAGAATTAAGTTTAAAACTTCAAGGAAGCAAAAATGTAAGTACAAAGGGTTCATAGTTAGTTTATAAATTAATCTGTACAAAGGGACTGAGGTTTGGCAACAATCTCTAAATATATCTTTGAAACCTGATTTTATAGAAGTTTGATATTTTAAATTATAAATTCTGTTAGATGCAGCAGCAAGAGTTAAAGTTTGAAATATAAAAGGTGGCAAACAACAAATTTCTTTAGATATTTTATAAACTTTAAATAATTTGTCTCCATTTTTCCCTTGTGTCCAGGCCGATCTTTCAGTATAGCACGCATATCAGAGACCAGAACTTTTCTATACGCATTCTCAGGTCCTACTTCACTCTCTACACTGCCGCGTGTTTTTAATGTCGCGTTCCCCGCTCGTCGGTTCCCAGCTTCACTATTTCCGTTCAATTCTACGGCTTCGTTTTCATCATATACTAGAAATGAAAAAAAAAAACATAGTTTTAAAATACAAAAAAATTGTTTTGCCCCCCCCCCCTAGAAGCTCCTAGGGGGGGGGGGGGACAAAATTTAAACTGTAAATTCAAAAGATTTGGCTTCTTGAATACTTTAAAGGTACACATTCAGTCCAAATACCTTACAAGTACTACTTTATCTCTCTTTCAAACAAAACTAGCAGAGAAAAACAGCAAACTATTTTTTTCTGTTCTTCACCCTTCAGTTTCAGAATTAAAAATGTGCTAGCTATGAGCTCTAGGGGGGGCACTGCCCCCTTGCCCCCTGTGTACGCCCTTGGTGATAACAAGAAAACAATAGAATAGGAAGACGATATGTGATTTTGTTACAAAGCAAATAGTTTTACTGAAACTTATTGTATCACTAATTTTGTGAGATGGGACTGTTTACACTGCACAATTGCTGTGTCACGTGTTAATTGGCATTTTATAAGTTATAACTTGATTATTAAAGTCGTCTTCCTATTTCAGGGTTTTCTGGTTATCACTATTAATAGTTTAGTAATAACGGCAACATCGCATAAAATAATACTGACCAATGGCAAATTTGATTCGAAATACTAACATACTCCTTTCATTTTTTAATCGTTCTGAACAGTTACCTTCAATGGAAGGTTCCATGTTTGCCTTCCAAACTGCTACAACAAAGAACAAAACCAGAACTCCGATTGCAGTGACAACACCCACTGCTGAACCTTAAAATGTTTAAAATGATAAATTGAACCAATGGCTGCAGCAATGATAATTGATAACACTAAAATCAAAAACACGAGAAACTAATATGATCTACGTATGCCGTAGCTATATAGGAATAAACTTAATCTGCATATGATCTTTCCCTCAAAAGTCGTAAATAACTTTCCTTCTTTTAACGCGAAATAAAGGGTATAAAATATGACAAAACATGCTTATTGCTTAACAGGGTTAATAAGAGAAAGCTCCCTAAGTATAAAACCAGGGGTTGGAATTTATGAAAAATAGGTTAACTCAAATATAGTATCAAGTACATTAGGTGGCCACAGAGAAATGGACCAATCATACACGACGTCACAAGTGTCAAATAGAACAAGGAAAACGAAATTTTCTCACATTAGTTGACATGTTTTCCAAGATTTAGTAAAAAAGTGTAAAAACAGAAACTAAAGAAAACATAAAATTGCACTCATTTTACTGGAAGATAAGCACTTTATTCTAAAATGATTACTATTTATAACAACTTTGTCGGACACATAAAACTGTTGACACTTGTGATGTAAGAATACAGCAGTACTCAGAGTGTACAAATTCTACGTTGCCATCTATTGTACTATACTCTATTTGATTGAACTAAGTTAATCTTAAACCCGACCTCTGGACAATGGACATCTGAATCGCCATGGAAAACTGTTGAACCATTAAATTGTCTGTTTAATCAAGATTTTGAATTTTTATCTAATTTCACTTTGTAAAAATGTTTAGTTTACCTATCGGTAAAGAGTAGCTGTTGAGAGTTTTCTCTACCTTAATTGACATTGTGTTCACAAAACTAGAATTAACATTTTCTTTTATACTTGATATATGGAGAAATTACGCAAGGAAAAACTTGTAATATAATCATGCCAATTCCCTTAGTTGGGTGTTCATAAAAAAAAACTTTTTCTGATCATTACACAAATTGTAGTATTACGTTCAAGATTTTTTACTCATTTTCTATTGAAGGAAATTAACGTTCTTCGTCGAAATGAAAACGGTCGGGGGTAAATATTTTCGTGAAAAATGGTTAACTCCTCTTGAAAAAATCTTTCCCAGAAAGTAGTTAGTTCGACAACATATTTGGATCGAGGTATTACTAGTAAAAAGCTTTGTCTGATAAAAAATGAAAGAAATTTCCATGATTTCCTTTGATTGTTTTTTTTTACATAATTTCTCTGTGAGAGTGACTTGCGGATTTCTTGCTCCCGAAACAAAAAAGATAATTGTAAGGACTGAATACTTTTCAATTTAGAAAAAAATACATCTTCCACATCACTGATCTGATCAAGATTTAAAGGCTACCTTCGTAAATCAGGCATGACTCATTTTTTCAAAAATGGAGGGTCTCTTAATTTTATTAGATTAAATTGTTAATTGTGAAAGCATCATAGTATAGAATATACAAATAATGTTCACTATGCCAAGGTTGAAAAGAATAAAAATAAAACTGTTGATTTAAGATTAAATACTGTAGATACTGTAGAAAATGGTTTATTCCTTGTGTTAAACTTTAACGGTAGCGTTCTACATTCACTGGAGTTAAACACTAAACAATTATATTTATGGAACAAATTGGAAAAAAATCTTAAATAAATTATAAAAAATCTAAAATTAACCTTCAAGGTCTAAAAATCTGGGTTCGGAAAAATAAATCTGGTTTTCAAACGAATCAATCTAGCTCCAGACTAATGAATTTGGCTCCAGAATAATGATTCTGGCTTCAGAATAATGAATCGGGATGCAGACTAAAGAGTCTGGCTCCAGACTAAACAATCTGGCTCCAGACTAATCAATCTGGCTCCAGACTAACCAATCTGGCTCCAGAATAATCATTTAGGCTCCAGAATAATGAATCTGGCTTCATACTAATCAATCAGGATCCAGACTAATCAATCAGGCTCCAGACTAATCAATCAGGCTCCAGACTAATCAATGAGGCTCCAGACTAATCAATCAGGCTCCAGACTAATCAATCAGGCTCCAGACTAATCAATCAGGCTCCAGACTAATCAATCAGGCTCCAGACTAATCAATCAGGCTCCAGAATAATCAATCTGGCTCCAGACTAATGAATCTGACATGGACTAATGTATCTGTTCCAAAATATGAAAAAACTAAAGGTTTGAGACGTAAACAAGTAGAGTTAAGAAAACAAATGCTATAATACATGAATGCTCGTAAATAACTGAATTATGATAAAATTAAGGTTTTTTTATCTGACACAATCCACATAAATATATATTCCTGGTATTACAGAGATGATAAATCCTTTCGGAAACATCTTGGTTCGAACAGGGTAGAAACCAACACTTAACATCCGGGCCCACATCCTGGATATATAATTCATTAAAGGGATTGTACACGTAGTTTAAAGTAACCTTCAATTATTAGTTCTTCAAATCAAATCAAATCATGCTTTTAGGGACGTCCTAAACCCACACACCAAAATTTAAGTGACTATACTAAATCAATTTTTAATATTTCTCCTAAATAAAACAAATCGTTTAAACAAAAAAATAAAAACACAACAAAGATTTTAATACTTCATTAAAAAGTTTGAAAAATACTATAAATAAGTTTACCCTGAATTTCTGACAATATCTTCAGAATCTATCCAAGGACAACCTAAAATAAGGAAGACTAGATGTTATTTATTACAGTATCTCCGACAAAAAAATGAAATTTTAATCTTTATTATTGCAGGGGAAATCTTTGTCTGGTCAAGGATAAAGTGATGTTATCTGTAAAAATGTGGATTTAAAATTGTGAGAATTCAACACTTTTAAAAACATGAAAACGACGAGATTTTCCTCATTATTGCTTAGATATAGCTTTAAATGGTACATTTGTGAACCATACATTCCACTTAATCAAATTATAGTTCATTTAAAGGGAGTGACCGGCTATGTAAGGTAGTTGAACTTAGTATGCAGTGTTGTGGAAAACTTCTTTCAGATTCATTTGAGATATATTACACTTTTTAAAGATCTGTAAATCCTGCATCTAACGAAATGCTCCGATCAACCTAAAATTTTCACAAAATGCTCATATTTGGCCCCATCACCAATAGAATCTTTGCAATGTGCCCACACATTTTTTTAACCCCCTTCGTGTGTCCCCCTTTAAATATTACCTGGTTGGTTAATTGCAACATATACACAGTTACTGCTCTCATTCAACATAGATTTTACAGTAACTAGGGTATATTAATGATAATGATAATGATAGTGATAATGATAGTGATAATGATAGTGATAATAATAATAATAATAATGATAATAATGATAATAATGATAATAATGATAATAATGATAATAATGATAATAATGATAATAATGATAATAATGATAATAATGATAATATTTTGAAATTTGTTTTTAAACAAAATATTAACTATATATATTTGTTTTTAATGTTTAAAGCAAGTGCAAAGTATGTTCGTAAACCTTACAGGAATCTGTGCTCCCATTGTCTCAATCTAAGAGAAACATCTAGTAATTGAAAAGTATAGAAAATTCCATTTTTGGTATAAAATCCTAATCTGAATAAATACATCTCCCTCATCTTTAGATGCTTTAAAATATGTCATGTCATAGAATGTAGATACATGATTTTACCACAAATTTAATTCCTTTAAACTCTTTCCAATGGTTAAAACCAAGGAACTATATACAGGAACGCCAAACTTAAATATACGCAAATTGTGTACTGTACACTGTGGGAGGAATGTAAACAAACCCAGTGCCCCAACAGAAGTTGAAGGGAAAGGACTACAGCTCTGATGTGATATTAATTTCCAACAAAAACAAATTAATATATCAAGTTAGAGTGAATATTTATAATTTTTGGCTCTCTGGTCAATATGGAAATAACAATAGTAATATATTCTTATTCCACCGCACTTTTCCTTCAAAAATGATGCGTTGAACTTGACTTCTTTGTTTTGATCTTCTCCCACTGCAGAACACAGATTTGACACATGAGATATGGCGCGGTTCCTGGTCTATTTATTTCTTGAGTGAAACTAAGGAAATACTTGTGATGATGATAATTATGATACTGATGATATTACCTAGATTAGGGAAGAAACTAAAAACTCTGGAAGAATGTTGATTCATCTTAAACTCTCTCTCAGAATCCAGTTCTAAATAATTATTAGTATATACCTTTATAGGAGCAAAACCAAAGATTCGTCCAAAAATATTTTAAAAACGGGGGTTTCTTTATTCAATCTGTATTTAGCATAAAAAGTTTTTAAGAAAGTAAGAGAATAAATCAAGAGTATTTTTCTAAATCTATTTATTATAGGTAAATAAAAAAAAAATTATAACAGAATTTCTTTTTTTTAAATTTTATTATTATCATTGTTATTATTATTATTGTTATTATTAAAATAAAGACCACCAGACATTCATTATGTCATTTTATTAAAAATTTCTTAGATAACAGTTTGGGTGCTTTATCCTATTTAAACACTTATCCAAAACTAACTTTATTGATTCTAAAATAAAGTTTTTAAAAAGAGAACTTCGAAAACAAACCCTGATTATCCAAAGAATACTTTATGTATTCATTTCTTTATGGATATTGTACAGGTTTTTGTTCTTAACATACCTATATTTATATCTTCATGTACAACTTGTATTTGTACATAAACCGGTTTCTGCCTTGTGGAGAATACGCCAACAGTAACATTATGATCACTGTACAGTGCACATAGTTGTTTTTAGTTTTTACATAATTTCATAGAAATGTTTAAACCCAATAAAACACAAATTAAAAAAAATAATATTTAGAAGAAAAATCAAAAAAAGTTTTTAGCCTCCATTTTTAAATTGATTTATGTTTTCTTTTGGAATTAAATTACTTTTAATACAGGGTTACTCATAACGGGTTAGATATCAAAGACGACTGTACGGAATTCATTGAGATTTTTTCTTACATCTATGGTTCCCTGCAGTTTAAAACTAAAATTTATTTCTTTACCAAACCCTTACGTAAATCATTAGATTATATTGAAAATCAAATCACATTATGATAGTCATATTCAATTAGTTTTGGGTCGTCAATTAAGTCTCATCCTTTGCTGGTAACCCGAAATAAAAAAAGATAATTTCACATTGAAAGGTACAATTACATGTATTTGGGGAAAACGTTAACAGCATGTTTCCTTTGTTTCTCCACCAGATGATTTGTGCATAGAAATTTATCTCCAGCTGACTCACCAACTTCGAGATCTAAAAATAAAGTTTTATCTTGCACTTCCTTTCTTTAACTTTAACATTCTCATAATAGAGTTTCTAACTCAATTCATATAATGAATATTCATTAAACCCTTATCAATTTGCAAAAGCATAATTGTCCATTAGATAACATAATGGAGTTTTCTTTTCCATTACAATAAAAGATTTCTTGAAATTTTCCATTTCCATAATAGAAGCTTTTCTATAATATAGGTTTTAATCTTCCATTTTTGGTTTTAAAGCTATTAACTGCCTGTACATAATTATTATCTTTTCTAATTCTCCTAATTATAAAATGTATTTTTTCTTTACTTTCATTCTTATAAAAAAGTTGTTCTCGACACTTTAAATGTAATTTCTATACTATAGTTAAATTTGTATAGTTTAATAATTTTATTAATACCTAAGCTCCAGTGGTTATGATAACCCTGGTATATTGCTGTAAGATGAAGATTACCAGTTTCTTGAGCCCTGAAAATATTTTGGAATTTTCCTTAGAACACTTTCTTTTAGACGTATTGTTGATTTTAAATAAAGAAATACAGGGTGTCAAAATAAAACATATGAACCGAGTGAAGAATTCGAGAATCATCCAGAATTAGCATGGTAACAACTAATTTTAAAAACATTAAATGATTTCAATTTAATGAATTGGAACTGCCTACCACTGGTTAAAATTTGAATTACTGATTCAAAACCTTCCATAACCTTAAACCATAACATTTAAATTGTTCGGGTTCAAATATAAACCGGCAGTAGACCTTTAACGACGTAGCTTATATTCATAAAATTTGGTCCTAGGTCGGCTAGAATATATATTTTATGAAAGCTATTTTTCTATTCTGGTTTTTAAAACAAAAACGACTGGGAATTTTCAATTTTCTAATTATAACAAGTACAACAGTATGCGGTATCAAAACACAAACAAACAAATTCTATGCTCTGGCAGACAAAAATTCCTGCAGAATACAGCTTTCCTAGTAGGCATAACTACAGTGGTAGGCCTTTATATCAATACAATGAAGACTACTTTTAAACTTAAGTTTTGATTTTTTTCATATTACAAGTTTACAAGTAAACAAAGAGAACCTGTTAAATGGAAGTTTCTCTTTGTTTCCATGTTTATATATTTATTCATAGCTTGGTAGAAACTAAAAATTGAAATCCAAAGCCGTCTTATTGTATTGATATATACGACGATGACAGTATAATAAATTAAAAAGGCGATCTTGAAGTTGTCAATACATTTCCATGTTTATTGGAACACCCTGTTGATTAAAATTGTCACTACAGCATGACATTTATAAAGTAATATGGTACCGTCGCACTAAACACACTTTCTTTATACTCGAATTGAAAGGCAGAAGAGCATATTTCATTTATTTTTCATATTTCATTTCAGTTCATATTTCATTTCAGTTCATATTTCATTTATTTTTCATAATTCATTTCAGTCCATATTTCATTTCCATTTCATAGTTCATTTCAGTTCATATTTCATTTCATTTCAGTTCATATTTCATTTCAGTTCATATTTCATTTCAGTTCATATTTCATTTCAGTTCATATTTCATTTCATTTCATTTTTCATTTTAGTTCATATTTAATTTCAGTTCATATTTAATTTCAGTTCATATTTCATTTCAGTTCATATTTCATTTCAGTTCATATTTCATTTCAGTTCATATTTCATTTTAGTTCATATTTCATTTCCATTTCATATTTCATTTCTATTTCATATTTCATTTCAGTTCATATTTCATTTCCAATTCATATTTCATTTCCATTTCATATTTCATTTCAGTTCAAATTTCATTTCCAATTTATATTTCATTTCCAATTTATATTTCATTTCCATTTCATATTTCATTCCACTACATATTTCATTTCCGTTTCATACTTCTATTCCAATTCATATTTCATTTCAGTTCATATTTCATTTCCATTTCATATTTCATTTCCGTTTCATATTTCATTTCCGTTTCATATTTCATTTCCAGTTCATATTTCATTTCCGTTCCAGATTTCATTTCCGTTTCATATTTCATTTCCGTTCCATATTTCATTTTCGTTTCATATTTCATTTCAGTTTATATTTCATTTCCAGTTCATATTTCATTTCAGTGCATATTTCATTTCAGTTCATATTTCATTTCAGTTCATATTTTATTTCAGTCTATATTTCATTTCCATTTCATATTTCATTTCTGTTTCATATTTCATTTCCATTTCATATTTTATTTCAGTCCATATTTAACATATGTTTCTCCGGTCTTTGTTTCTTTGTCTGCTTGTTTTTGCAATTCAGAGCAAACTTGATGTATTCTTCTATAACATTATTATCATTTTATTAAAAGGGACTGTAGACGTAATTTTATGCGACTTTTCATTTATTGAACGGCATATCCGATTCACAGCAGAATCCTTTAAAGCTTTGTCTGAGCAAAAATGTATGAGATATACATAATCTTCTCTTTAAAAATCGATTATTTTCAATTGTGGTTTTTCTTTAAAGACAGTTTCGCATTTATTATTTGGAAAGACTGGATAAAATTTTCAGAACTAAATACTTTTCAAGTTTTCAAGGTAGCAAAACAACGATCGACATATTCCCCATTTTTTATCAGATTAAGGATTCAAGGGTATCGCTAATTGTCCCTCTTTACATGAAGTGTCAATAAAAATTTCAACAATAGCCCCTTTAACCTCGTCTTGAACTTGATATCGGTTTATTACAAAGATGATTTCAAGTTCTTAGCTTTCCTTAAAATCAAAGCAAGGTTATTAAATAAGGATAGTTACTCTGAGTGCGCTCCAATGTACAGAAAATGCTGTTTCCTTGGGATAGATAGAACCTTGACTCAAAGCGTCTCATCAAATCGTATCGACGGCTTTATTGTTTTGAGAATTTGTACAGTAATATTTCACGTGTATATAATGTTTGTTTTTCAATATATCTAGATATAACTGAAATATTAATCACGATTTTTAAATTTTTAAAAATAAATGCCGCGTTAATCAATGACGAGCTTACAGTCAAAACTAAACTTAAATATTCGTAAACTAACCTTTCTAATAAAGATGAATTGGTGGATAAAGAGGAAGTTCCAACAATACTGGTTCTGAGCAGTACTCCACTAAATATTTTCTTTAACAACTTTTTCTCCCAACCGTCAGATGCATTTTAAATGAGAAAGTAAAATAGAGAACTCTGTAGATTGTTGAATTAGAGAGTATATTAAAAATTCAAAAATCAAAATTTAATGGACCAAATACATCTAGACCTGGTTGGTCCTAAGTGGCACCTGAAAAAGTTCCCCGCCCCACTTAAAAACATTTCCATGCCCCGGCCCCCACTCTCAAAAATCATTCAATAAAACAAATGTTACTGAAGAAAATTCCTGTTTATATTTGAAAATTCAATGATTTTTTTTTGATTTTTAACGAGTGCCTGCTCTAATCAAAAGTGTTTCCAATAATCAACATAAGCAAATAAAATTTTAATAATGTAAATACCTGTTTAAGGTTTGTTTAACAGGTAGATTTGTTATATAGGGAGTTGAGAGATCAACTTTTACCTAGATCATTCATTCAATATATTTTATTCATTCATCCGTTGACTTTTATTCATCCATTCATTCGTAATAAATCATTCATTCATCCGTTGACTTTTATTCATCCATTCATTTGTAATAATTCATTCATTTATTCATCCTTTTATTCTTTCATTCATTCATTCATCCTTTCATTCATCCTTTTATTCATCCTTTAATTGCTTCATTCATTCATTCATCCATTCATCCATTCATCCTTTCATTTTATTGGATTTTTCCGCCAAATATATTCATTTATTCATTACATTATCTTTCCTGTGCTATCATTAATTCATTAATTAAATCTTACACTTATCCGTCTATTAGTTAAATCTTAATTAATTTACCAAATCATCAATTTTTATCAATATTCTAAGTTAACATATAATTTATCGATTAACATCTTTTCATCAAAAACTTTCATAATTTTATTTTTTCATAATTTTATAGTTTCATAGTATCATAATTTCATAATTTCATAATATCATAATATCATAATTTCATAATTTCATAATTTCATAATTTCATAATATCATAATTTCATAATTTCATAATTTCATAATTTCATAATATCATAATTTCATAATTCCAGATTTCATCAATTTCTTCAAACTTTACTCCAACATAGATATAATTTTAAAGAAAACATCTTACATGAAAATTTTTTTAACTTTTTTATTACCTTAAATTCCCTGCAGTTAGCAGATAAGAAACAAAGAATAAATAAAATTAATTTTAACATTTTTGAGATTACCAAGAAAACATGTCTGAAAATAGTTTAGATTATGTTAATTTGTAATTTCAAGTGACCTTCCCTTAAAAGAGGGACATGTCCGATTCACAAATTAAATCAAATCATACGGCATTTTTAAAATAAACATTCTGATCAATAATGTGGAAGATATGATCTTTTTCATGCCTTAGCATTATCTTCAATTTTTCCGGAGCAGAAATGCGCAATTCACTTATAAAAAGAAACCACTATTGAAAATAATCAACTATTAAAGAGATGATAATGGATATCTAAATCTTTTAATGGTTTCGGTGTGAATTAGACATGCCAGTATCTAAATGGTGATTCATTTAATGCAAATTAACACATCCATTTAAATAGATTCATTATAGTAAATATTTAACGAGAACGAATTGGAATTTAGAAAATATATAATTAATTTCAACTAGAATTATTATGCAAATTATACATAGTAAATTGTAACTTCTGAGCTTAATGTCTGTATAAACTATGAAAAATATGAGACCTAGTATCAAATATTGCACAATGAAAAAGAAGTAAAAACTAGGTGACGTGGTAAACCTAACAGTCGTAAAAACATTAAAGCGTAATCAATAAACGGAAAGAATAAAAATTAAACCCAAACAAAGGGATTGAGGTCATGTTTGATGCCTTGTCTTTTTACCTATTTATATTAAAAGCATGATAAAAAACATTATATTAAAAGCATGATAAAAACATTATATTAAAAGCATGATAACACATTATATTTAAAGCATGATAAAAACATTATATTAAAAGCATGATAAAAACATTATATTAAAAGCATGATAACACATTATATTAAAAGCATGATAAAAAACAAAGCGTTGGGGAAAATGTTTTGTTCTCAAACTTTACACAACTACGGGTTAACTAATAAGAGATAATTGAAACATTCCTTGATCGCATATTAAATCAAGTTTCTACAAACAAANATTAAAGTGAAACGTTAGAACAGATTAATAAGCTAGATTAGATTACATTACCTAGAAATAGTTTGGGACTTCTAGGTGTACAATGTACGAATTTAAAATTAACGCTGCCGTATTACTTAAAGTAATTGAAGTATATATATTAAAACTCTGAAATGTTCATTTGTCAGGGGGTGGAGTAATGCAGTGCTCCCAACTCCCCCCCCCCTCCTTCAATTGATTAATCCTAAGGTTTCCGTTTTTTTTACCAGGGGGGGCAGTGTAGTCCTCTTGCCCCCCTTGGGATTTATGGGCTAAAATCAGGTGTGGTGGGTAAAAAATGAGTTTGCCCCTATCTTTAATTGTCAAAAGCATTTCTCTTTTATCTGAAATCTCTCTACCCTCCCCCCTTCTTGATAAATAATTATAGCTTTATGCATTATGCTGTATGAAGCACGTATGCAGGAAATTTTTCAAAAATTCATTCTTAAAAATAGAATATAAAGGACTATGAAAGCCCTCTCTCGCTTTTAATATGACCCAAATAATTCCGAATGGGGGGGAGGGGCTCTCATTTTATTCATGAATTTACTTTGGTGACAAAAACCAAAAGTTGTAGACCTTTGGTATTTCAAACGTTGAATTCGGTTACGATAAAATAAACTAAGTTTGAAATATCAAAAGTTAGGCATAGAGATTAGGAGAGTTGAATTGCCCGGCGTTGCCCCAGTTACTCTTAGTTACTCCCAACCACGCTTGGTCTTAAATCATGATTTTAGCGGTGCTCGGGGTTGCCTGTAGAATTTTAAAAATTCCATAATTTCGGCAGCAATAGCACATATAAATGAGCGAAGAGCTTTAATATATATATGATATGTATGTTTGACAGACAAGTCGTAACACATCGAGAAATGAAACAGATAGCATATAATAGGAAGTATGTCACCAACTGAGTCGTATTCAGGGGGAGGGGGCTATGGGGGCTCAGCCCACCCATGTATCTGTGAAATATACGGTTTCCATGTTTTTTGGGCTCGAACGGGGGCTGAGCCCCCTCCCCCCCTCTACATCCCTGCCTTTACATTAGCTATTACTACCTAGGTCCTAGAATGTTAGGTGTTGAGACAACATTTGGTAATTTCCTAGTATACGATTTTTGGTAAATAGTAATATGAGTTTTGGACCCCCCAGGCCCCTCATTTTATTTTATGCATTTGATTTTTACAATTTTTTATCATAAAATTAATATTTTTATACTTATAAAGTAGAGATCTCTGTTCGTTTGTTTGAATGCCAGATCATAACTCAGGCACTCCTTCACCAAATTGCCACAAATTTTGACAAACGATATCAGTAAAAACAAGGAAATATTCTTAAATAGCTTAGTTTTAGTTGAATAGAGAAAAATTTGTTTCCAGGCAAAGCTGGGTTCCCAAGGTAGTATTTTCTTTTAGTCCCGGGTTAGGTTAAGACAATTTCTGAGTGAGATGTGCCCGAGTAGGACAAGCTATAAGGGGCCGAGCGCCGCGGCTAGAACAGGCTAGGAGGGCGCCGCGGCCACCCTTCCAAACTATTGTTTGCAGATCCAATTCTGAAGAAGATACCACTATAACTTTAAATTTTAAAAAACTCAGCTACCGTTCCCCCCCCCCCCCCCCTTACTCTGTTTGATCCGAGCAAAAACAATTATAGTAATAAGCTTGAACTTTAGTAAGCATGGGGACAGTTTTGGTATGACTCACAAGATATGCTTGACATATGCTTAATCTCAACGTATATGACGAAATTAACTAGTTAAAACATGAGCGATAATTAAAGAATTATCAAGACTTGTTTCGGAATGATACCAGAAAATTGACTGAGCACAGAGCACTTATAGCCAGTCCTCAGTCGAGCAGCTTTTAAACGTTGAGCGAGTCGAGCAAATTGAAATAAACTGAGAGTAAGATCTCATCATCTCATGTTTATTGTTATTACGTGAGACTGCCTCGGGCATTTGCCGCGCACAACTATATAGAGTAAACTATTATTGGATTTCTGAAAAATTAAAATTAAAAAGTGTTGAAGTCATCTCATTTTAAACATTTTTGTTATTGAATTAATTTGATTGATTGATTGATTGATAAACGTTTATTTCTTCACACCTTGTGACTGGTGTCTTAAATCTTTGAATTAATTTTCCGAAGGAGTAAAAAAGAAATTATTTTTTGACCTGTTCATTGTCGTCTTCTATTTAAATCCTTGCAATACTGCACAATGCCGCTCAACTTTCTCAATCTCTATTGTTTGAAAAAGTTCGTTAGGGTTCCGGAATTGGAAAAACGAGTTCATACCAATTAAACCAGTCTTAGTGTTAAATATGGGTCGAATTTTAACCAAGAATTACCGATTTAAAAACATTTGATATTGTTTACCAAATGGAAAATTCTGTAAATTACAGAAAAGTTCGTGAAATCTCTATTAGGAAGGAGGAAGGGGGGGGGGGTAATTACTGACGAGAGGTTGATTAATTAAAAGGCACTTTTCAACTCTAATGCGCTCTCAAGAAAGTCAGATATTATTTTATATTTAAATTATTATCTGAAAGTATTGGATTCGGTTGAATGATTTTATTTGTTAATTTCAATTATGATTTTTCATTTACTTTTACAGTTTCTCAAGTTTTTTTGATTAATGAAAACTGGTAATTTCCTTGCAAACGATTTTGAACCCCCGGCCACCCGGTAATCGATAATCTCATGAATTCTAATTAAATATTAACGTCTTACACCTAACCAAATTTTCATTTATCGTAAAATTATCTGGTATATTCCTAGAGAACGATTTTTGGACCCCCCCTCCCAATTATCTCTTATGTGAATTTTTTTTATTTAGAGAAACATGGCACAAAATGTGAATCCATCAACAGCCGGGACAAGATTGCACGATCAAGGAGATAAAGACGGGAATGGAAAGTAAGATATGTTTTTTCTTATAATGTAATATCTTTAGAAATGAGACATTCTCTGGGAGGACATTTATTGATTAACTTTCATTTTCCTCCAAACCATTCCCCATTTTCAATACTTACACAGCTTCTAAATGCTTAGGAGTCTTTATCTTCTTGAATAAGAATTTCTACCCCTAAAGGGGGATGGTGGAGATGCGCTATTTGATGTAGGGAGGGGGGCGGGGCTGCTTTCAATTTTGGTTCAAATTTTACAATTTTATGGCTGCACGTCTAATCAAATAGGACATCTCCACCAACCCATTTATAAATCTAGATATAATAAATATGTAAAATAAATTCTAATCTGTTTTATTTTCTATTGTTGGGACAAAAAGAGCCGAAGAAAAAAAAACATTACATTAAAAGAAAACAGAAAGGCCAAATTAAAAAAAAGAAGCAAATGACAAAAAATAAAAACAAAGAAAATATAATGAAAGAAAAAAATTCGATCAAAAAAAAATGTCCTTTTTTTAAGCTTGATGCACTAGATATTTGTAAATATTGAATGGTAATATTTTCTGCATAAAAATGTGATATATGCACCTTTATAAATATCATGACAACAATCTGAATTTTTTTTATAAACTCCGCCAGGAGCCCTGAAAATAATCATTACATAAACATAGGATATGTATTTTCGTCACTTGTAAAAAGGTTTTTAAGCTCTGGAGAGTAAAATAAGTAAGGAGGCCCATGATTACCAAGCTTACTATTTGCATTTTTCTTTTGCTATATGCCTGAATTATGCATTTTAAAGTTATAATGATCTATCTTTTTGCTTCAGAGTTGGAGGATCTGCGTCTCAGCAGGTCTCTAAACGGTTACAGTCGGAGCTCATGAGCCTCATGATGTCACAGGTAACCCTCACCAGCTTAAAGGGACTGTACACGTACTTTAGCAGTTTAAAGAGACTGTAGACATACTTCAGCAGTTAAGAGACTGTAGACATACTTCAGCAGTTTAAAGAGACTGTAGACATACTTCAGCAGTTCAATAGACTGTAGACGAACTTCAGCAGTTTAAAGAGACTGTAGGCGAACTTCAGCAGTTTGAAGAGACTGTAGACGAACTTCAGCAGTTTAAAGAGACTGTATACATACTTTAGCAGTTAAAAGAGACTGTAGACGTACTTCAGCAGTTAAAAAAGATTGTAGACATACTTCAGCACTTTAAAGAGACCGTAGACGTACTTCAGCAGTTTAAAGAGACTGTAGACGTACTTCAGCAGTTTAAAGCCAATAAAACCCACTGGGCTTTTTTGTTGAAAAAAACGGTTTTTCCAACCCTGATGCCTGACCTTAACAACCAAAAAAAGCGTTGAATTCTGTTGGATTTCCTGCACTGTTTCACCTGTAGAAATATGCAAATACTTATTTTATTAAGAAACTGCAATTCAAAACTTTCTAGTTTCAGTTAAAAAAATAAGAAATTTTCATCAAACGACGATATATTCCTCTTTGCTGCTCAGACAAAGGGTTAAAAGATACCATTGTGAATTGGACTTTTTTACGTACTTTGCAAGCATTACGTAGAATTTTGAGATAAAAAAGTTATTTTATTCCGTTGTTGTTAAGCATTACATAGAATCTAAAATAACTCGAAGAAATCCTGAATTGTATTTCTTTTTCCAAATAAAAAAAACGATTCTTTCTAATGAAATGGGTTGCAAAGTTATTGTAAAATAAATACTGCTGATGTGGTAGCGCTGTTGCACTCCTATTAAGAAGTATTACCACTTAATTCAGCCCATAAACTCATTAGTCTTTACTTTTCGCGAAAAGTTCCTTTCAATTATTGAATCAGTTAAAACCATCGAATTTCATTAAAACCAATCTTTTTATAACTTAGAGACACATTTGTAATGTAAAACGAAAAAAAATTATTGATTATTAAACGAGGAGTGGATAAATAGTTTTATAAACAGTTTTTCCCGAACCCATGGACAAGAACTTATTATGTTTAGGACAAAGGTATCTCAGCCTTCCCTGATGGTGATAATCTTCTCTCCTGGGTTGGTACAGTTGTTGGTCCACAGGTAGAGAGAGTTTTAATATACATTATTACGGACATATAGTCCTTTAACCGCTGTAAACCATTTATTTTAAGAAATTAATTTTCTATTTTTTTTTCGGGGG